CCCCCCCCCTTCCCCATCATTCTCTTTGCAGGTGGTGGGGGAGCAAGCTCAGCAAGGTGAATCTTTTAGTACAGACTTAACTGAAAGTAGAGGAAACCCACTGGAATCAATGGATTTATGTCATACAGTGCAGAGCCTTTGAAATCACTGACTGACTGAAATCACTGAAATCACTGCACCCAACCTGGTATGTTTTCCTTCTCTCCTCCTGACAAAAAGATGCTGTTTAGCTACAGTGACACCTTTGAAGGCCCACTCGTGTGCATGTTTGGGCAGGAGAGGAATTTTGGTGGTGAAGTGGAACACAGAGGAAGTGTTTATTCCCCTCTCCACAGCCCTGGTATGGATGCAGATACATCTCTTTCCAATGGCTGCTTGTTTTAAAGACGGAGATGAAGCTGCCATTGCTGCCACAGCAGCAGCATAGGAGGAAATCACAACAAAACAAGAATTAAATGTCTCGATTACACCCTCTTGGATGAACTGTTTGACAGGGAAAGGGGGTTCGAGAGTGTCAGAGAAGCTGAGAGCGATGCTGCCATAAGACCTGATTCCCTGACTAGGCTGGTCTCCTGGGAGGGTCAGCCTAGGCGGAATGAGCAAAGCAGCGGCACCAGACAAAGAAGCATCCACACTCTGACGGAGGAATGGGCAAATCAGCAAAAGAGAAGAGATACCTGTAAAGGTTATGTGGGCAGAGAAACTCCTGAAGGGTGCGCCTCCTTCCATATATATCTGCCTGGACCCTAAGATCATCTGTTCTTCTCCAGGAGCCCTCTTTGAAAGAGACTAGTAAGGTTGCTACCATGAGGAGGGCCTTTTCAGTGGTAGTCTCCTGACTCAAAATCTTTTCTTTTCTATTTTAATACTTGGATGCTTTTATTATATATTTTATATATTGTATACTGTGCTTTTATTGAAGGGCTGTTGTGTTGTTGCTGTTATTATCATTTTTGTAAACTGTCTTGAGATTTCATTGAATATTAGGTGGTATATAAATGTTTTAAATAGATAAACAAAGAGCCACTTCTTGGCAGCAGTGGGATGTGGGATTCATTGGCAGAGGATTTTTCACAGTTGGTGGCAGCGATGCTCAAGCGAACTGTGGTTTGTACTGCACAGTAAACCTTTTCTGAATAGTTCTTACCTTGCAAATCTCACAATGAAACAAGAGAAGATGAGACTCCCAGGTCAGAAGGCATTCAACCAACTATTGGGGAAGAGGAACAGACAAGTACAAATTGTTCTGTTGCTAATACTGCAACTAGATCAAAGCAGAAAAGAAGTCCAGTGACTGATGTGCAGAGAGATGAAAGGAAACAATTGGAACATGGAACATAAGAAGTTTGGATCAATGAAAAGGGAAACCATGAAGCAAGAAATGAAGAGATTAAACATCACAGTACTTCCTATGAACAAACTTAAGTGGACTGGAAGAGGACATATTCACTCAAACACAGAAAGCTTTTCTCTGGAAATGACAAACTCAGAAGACATGGAGTGGCTCTCATGCTGAGGCAAGGTGTAGCAAAGGCAGGAAGGAGCCATCATGCAAAGTCTGGCCAAATCATTTGAATCGGTATTCCCCACAAGCCTATCAATGTAACCCTTGTTCAAGTCTGTGCTCCAACAACAGATGCTGAAGAAATCAAAAACTTCTAGATAACACCAAAATAAAAAAAGACATGTTAGTAATCATAGATGACAGACATGCAAAAGTAGGAAACAAAGCAGAATCCAGTGTTTGGTCCAGGGGTCAGAAGTGAAGCAGGAGAATGGCTTCTATTATTTTGCGAAGCCAGAAATCTGTTTATTGTAAATACATAATTCAGGGTAGTGATCAGCCTGCTGTACTCATGTAAATTGATGGTATGGATATCTATGTTTTATATCCTACAGCAAGGCCTTTGACTGTGTGGATCATGATAAACTATGGATGGTTCTGAAAGAAACAGGTGTGACTCCGATGTATAACCTGAATTGTGAACAAGATGCTGCTGTTAGGATAGAATGGGGCAGAACAGATTGGTTTCCAAAAGGCAAAGGCATCAGACAAGGGTGTGTTTTATCTTCTTATGTATTCAAACTGTGCACAGAACAGTTAAGGAAAGCAGACTTTGGATCAGAACAAGGAATGAACCTTGGTGGAAGATCCAATAATTATTTAAGATATGCAGGTTGTACCAGATTATTGGAGAAATTAGCAATGAACTGAAACGACTCCTTGTGAAAGTGAAAGAAGAAAACAAAAATCATGAGTCCATGATAATTGCACAATGTTGACGAAAATGAAATTGTGAAAAATTTTGCATTCCTTGCCTCAGTCATCAATTCGAACAGAGACTACAACCAAGAAATTTGGAGAAGACTGAAATTTGGAGGGGCAGCTGTGAGGGAACTAGAAGAGCTGATCAGGTGCAAGGATGTTCAACTGGAGACCAAAGCCAAGGTCATCCACACTATCGTATTTCCAATCACTATGTATGTGGGAGAAAGCTGGACAATGGACAAAGAAAGCAGACAGGAAAAAATCGATGCATTCAAAACATGGTGCTGAAGGAGAGCTTTGTGAATACCCTGGATTGACTGAAAGATGAAGAAGGGGGTCCTAGACCACTGATTCAGGGCCAATCTGAGGAAATACTTCATCACAAAGTGCATAGTTCAGTTCCAGAAGGTCTAGTGATGGCCACCAGTTTGGACAGCTTTAAAAGAGGAATGGGGTACATTCATATCCATGGCTTCTAGTCATCATAGCTATATGCTGCCTCCAATTTCAAATGGAGGCTGTGTAAGCACACCATTTGCTGGGCAACATGAGCAGATGATGTTCTTGAATTCACGCCCTGCTTGTGGGATCCCGTGGGTCACTGGTAGGCCACTGTGTGAACAGAATGCTGGCCTAGATGGACCCATGTTCTGATCTGGCACAGCTCTTCTCCCAAGTCCTTCCCTCAACTGCTGCTCCACACTGACTCCCTCATAGGAATGCTCTTTCAGTTGTTCTATATTTCTGAAAGCCCACTCATACACGCAGGTAGACACCTGAAGTTGTAGTCTTGTAGTGGTGACCAGGCATGTGAGAATAATCCCAGAGTACAGAGAAAGAGAATGATAAATCTGAAGGCTTGGCTTCCTTGGTACGTATGTTCCTTCCTTCTGGAGTGCTCTTCTAGTACTTTGCCTGGTGGGTGATTGTAAAGGTAGGTCGAACCTTTGCGGCTGCAGTGCCGGCCCTATAGAACACCCAGCCTGGAAGTCCTCCGACCCTCCAGCCATGCTGAGAATATCTGCCTGCAGTCTGTTGTAGTAGCTGTATTTGCTTTTGCGCTGGGGATGCTTTCCCAATCTTTTCATTTGATTAGCGATGGGTAAACCTCTCCCAAATGAGTGCATTATTTCCTGAAAAAGTAAGAAATTCATCTATTCTCAGATGATAATTATTTCATCCAAGATCTCTTTTGGTGTCCATGAATTTTGGCACATGTACCATATCTGGGAGCTGAAGTCTGCCATCCCATAATATTTCATGATGATGTGCACTGCCTCCCATTCACCTGTTTTAACATGCCCTTTCTACATATGCAGCATTACTGATTGGTACATGGAGAAAGGTCACATGGTTCAAGTCACATGGTTCAGATACAATTGGAACTCTTTTGGAAGAGTTCAAGTTTCTTCCCAAAAAGAAGAAGGGTTACTCGAACAAACTCAGCACATGCACAGAAATATCATCTTTTAGGTTCATATTGTGCATGCTCTGAAAGCTTTCCACATATTCCAAACCAAATCTTCCAATTCAAGCTCACTCCAAAGTGAACTATGCAATTGCAAAACTGTAGTGCAACGTATGCAAAAATTTTAGCCAGAGAATTGAGAGCCAGTGTGGTGTAGTGGTTAAGAGCGTGGGACTGGGACTCAGACGATCTGGGTTCGAGTCCCCGCTCGGCCATGGAGCCAACTGGGTGACTTTGGGCCAGTCACAGACTCTCAGCCCAACCTACCTCACAGGGTTGTTGTTGTGGGGATAAGGTGGAGGAGGAGAATGATGTAAGCTGCCTTGAGCCCTTTGTAGGAAAAAGGCAGGATATAAATCGAAAAATAAATAAATAAATAAAATAAATAAATAAATAAACTAGGTCAAGCCAATATGCAGGAAAGCCCAAATGTCAACCAAGATACATTGAACTTCAGACATTGCTGACAGAAATGCCGCTTAATTAAACACTGGAAATTTTACAAGAACAAAGTAGAAATCCTGTCTGAGGTGGAAATGAGTGGTTTGTAGTAGATACTTTCAGTGCTGATGTGTAAGATTAACACTATAATATGAATAAAAGTGCTTTTTGTTTAAGTGTAATTTTTAGGCAATATATATAGAATACATATGGTAAGAACCTTCAGTTGTGTGCCTTCAGTGTTCTATGCTTTTCTGTCACTACCCAATGCTGTACTGATAATTTTTGTACAGATAGAGTATAGAAAGATAAAAACCTGTAAAATGGCTGAATACATTCTTTCATTTCAGACATACACAACTATTAAAGTACGTTGAGGTTAAAAGCATTTCCTTTCTAATGCTGTGATTAGGTAAGGTGTACGCACTAGTAGTATATCAATTAATGTAACAGGCAATTCTAGGCATAGCTGCTTAGAATCAGGGTGCAAGGTTGCTAAACATCCTTTATTAAGCCCAGTACCTCCTCTCATATTTATATTTTCCATTTGTTTTACACATTAATATAATGGGACAGGTCTTCTACATTATGAAGGAAAGAGTGGTGGCATTCTTTTTTGAGCACATTAGGTTTGGTAGCAATAAAAAGAGTGAATTCTGAAACAGTCACCCATCTTATTAGAGGAAACTATAAATATTTAGTATATTTGAAAAATGCCTATCTGACTTAATATAGGAGCATGTTGTATTCAAGCTTTTTTCTCTGTGTTTTAAGTGCAGTTGGTCTTGATGTGTGTCAGAATCAAATTGGTTCAAACTGTTGTCTCAAAAATTCAAAATTACTGATCATAACATATACTTTGTTTTTCAGAGAGCCTATTGATAATCTTACTCCAGAGGAGCGGGATGCTCGAACAGTGTTTTGTATGCAGCTTGCTGCAAGAATTAGACCAAGAGACCTGGAAGAGTTTTTTTCTACTGTAGGAAAGGTGAAGTATCAAAAATATTAAAATTTCTTCTGCTGCTCTTCTTGATACTCTTCCAGCAGTAAAACTGAGTAGATCTTGCCAAGCTTTCTGCATAGCCAGTTGTTACTTAACTACTTTGGTATATTTGAGATGGATTGCAAGGTCCAGCTGCTGATATGTTAAGCCAGGTTACAATTAGAATCATGTGTGACTGTCATGGCTGCTCACTTGCAGCTTGTAAATATTTGTACATGCCGCATAAACTATGGTAGACATGTGGTAGCCTTCAGAAATCTTCAGAAATATATGTACTTTTCCATAAACATATTAATCACTCTTAAAGAGTCATAAAGGAAGCCACTGCCTTGAACTTAAAAATGCTGAGAAGAGCTGTCATGGACAGGACATTTTGGAGGGCTTTCATTTATAGGGTCGCTGTAAGTCAGAGATGATTTGACAACACATATCAAAGAGCAGAAATCTGAGGCAGTTGAAATGTTGCATTTATAATAGCATATGGTTGTTAACAACTGTTTGTTATAGTTGTTTAAATGTTCCATTTTTCTAGGTCCGTGATGTACGCATGATTTCAGATAGAAATTCCCGACGTTCCAAGGGAATTGCTTATGTGGAATTTGTTGATGTCAGTTCGGTACCTTTGGCAATTGGATTAACTGGACAGCGAGTTTTGGGAGTACCAATTATTGTACAAGCATCTCAAGTAGGTTGATAGTGAGTTTGTCTACTTCTCCTAGCCTCAAGGACTTTACTTCATAAATGGTGTGTTTGAGACTTTAATGGATGCATCTTGAGTTTTGTTGTGATAGCGATGGATGGATGGATGGATGGATGGATGGATGGATGGATGGATGGATGAGGAAGAAATTCAAAGAGGACAATTTGGATGTGTAATGGGGCTTGAGCATTTCCAAGCAAATATTTTCACTTATTCTTGGGTATGTGAGCCTCTGTCATAGACTGCTTTGGGATGATTCAAAAGCAGCTTTTCAGGCAGGATCTAGGGGGCTTCTATTAAAGAAAAATACCTCAAAGTCAACCTCTAAGTCACTCCTAATTACACTCATTAGAGAGAATGTAGTGGGACTTATTCTAAGCAAATGTAGCTTTGCACTGCAAGAACTTAATGTACTTGCAGACTCACAGAACTAGTTTTGTAGTATTTTAGATTGTGTTCATGGTGTTTAGTTCCATGAGGTTTATTGCTTTGAAGCATTCCTATCCTGCCTTTCCATGCTTATGTTCTAGATAGCCAACAACATTAAAATATAATAAAATACAAAATATTAATAATGGGTGAGAGGCAGACACAGTAGAAGATTTTAAACATAAACAATGCCCTGTACTTTAACCATGCTATCACAGTATTTGAATTTAATTGAAATAAATGAGAGTGCTAAAGGCAGAAATTGTTTCTGTCTTTTCAAAATAATTGTAGGGTGATGAATATTTAGTTGGAAATTTTGCTTTCAGTTTGACTAGCTGCAATATTTTTAGGATCAAATTGCACATCTTAAATCACAGAAAGCCCTTTATGTTGCAGTAATTTTGAGGAGACTAATAAAACTAAATGCTACAATATAAAGATACAATAAGTTGGACAGCTCTTACTATTATACATGTTTTATTCACTGTTTGCAGCATGTAAAAAGCCAGTTTTTAAATATAAGAGTTTGTTCTGTTCTCTTGCTCAACTAACTCTACAAATGCAGAAAATCTAGTTGGATCATCATATATAACTGGGAGCATTTTTAGGTATAGCAGAATTTACTGCTAAACTCATGTGTTTTGAACTACTCATACTTTGTATAATTTTTTTAGGCTGAGAAAAACAGAGCAGCAGCAATGGCTAATAATCTACAAAAGGGTAGTGCAGGCCCCATGAGACTCTATGTAGGATCACTGCATTTCAATATAACTGAAGATATGCTTCGTGGAATCTTTGAACCATTTGGCCGGGTAAGTTTTCTGCTTACTTAGAGTAACATAGTATCAGAGAACCATTGTGGTCTAGTGGTTAGGGTGTTGGATTGGAAATTTGGAAATTTTGGTTCTAGTCCCCACTCAGCCATGAAGCTTACTTAGTGGCTTAGGGTGTGTTACAGACTCTCAGCCTAATACACTCCACAGGGTGGTGGTTGTGGTGAGGATAAAATGGAGAAGAGAACCTTGTACACTGCCTTGGGTTTGTTGTAAGTGGAAGAAAGTTGGGATATAAATGTTATGATGGTGGTGATGGTGATAGTAATGATGCCATCTGACTGGTGTTGTTATATTTAAATCCAGAAGATGTTTTCATTTAAAGCCAATTTATGCTTTTAGCATAATAACTGATTCAATAACTGAAGAATTAAGACCATTTTACCTTTTAAATATGTTAAGGTCCTCTAATGTACACTTTTCAAAGTCAAGCTGTGACATGGAGGCTTACTTCATATAAATGAAAAATAGAAAATCACATTTTAATGACATACTCACCATAAAGCTTCATAAAACAGCAATGAGAGCTGCTAGCCATCATCAGTAGTTAAAAAGATCATGAGCACTGCATGATATTAAAACAAAATAATTTAGTAACAGATTAAGAAGTAGAATAATAGAAAAAGCAGTAAATAAGTGTTCAATGTTTGCTTGAAGGCTCATAATGATGGGTCCATATCAACCTCAGCTGGAATTGAATTCCATAAGCATGTTACCGCAGCTGGAGAGGCTGTTTTCCTCACAATTCCCATCCTAAATGATCTCATTGATGGGTACATGAACAGAGCCTCTGAAAATCATCTCAAAGTGTAGGCACTATCATGTTTTGTGCTTTCACAAATACTGGGGACAGTTCCTATGTACATCAAACTATGTTTTGGCACTATGAGAACAAACCTATGAGAACATTTCCTTTTCTCCTTGCATTGTCTATTTCTCTATCCTGGTTTGCAACAAACATACTATAACTTGGTTTGCATGCAAGTGCAAACCAATGAGTGACCAAGTAGTGCAGGAAGAGGCTGTGTAAGCATTGCATCATGTCATGATAGAATAACAAGTGAACAGGCTCTTATCTTTGAAATACACATATTTCCTTAAGAACTAATACAGTTTCATGCATTGAGGAAAATAGTAGAACACTCCGCTTGTATGGTCAAATTTGAGGTATAGTTTTGGACAAACTGACTCTATATTGTATAACTAAGACTTGAGTGTTAATTTTATTATACTAATGGCTAATCATCATCCTTTTCAGATTGAAAGCATTCAGCTGATGATGGACAGTGAAACAGGCCGTTCCAAAGGATATGGATTTATTACTGTAAGTTTATAAACTTAACATAATGATGACTTGTCAAATGAAATGCTTGGTTTTAACTGCAGTGATCATCTTCCATTTGTTTACTGTAAAATAGTCTCACTGTTCTTACAACTTAGGCATATATCAGAACAGCAAGCATTAGTCATTAATTTAAAATCATGGACTTTTACAGAAGAATATTAAAAATATCAAAAAATGTTGCCAGGAAAATGCCAGGATCTCTTGTGAGGATATTGATAAAGGAATTAAAACTTTTAAACACTTAGTCTCCTCAATTTAAGTGAGACTTCATTTAAAATATATTTAGGATTGAAATATGGATTGGAACACAGGTTTTAAAAAGTAGTTTTCTCTTGAGATAATAAATGTCACAAGAGGTCATTAGTACATTCATTCTAAACTTGTTTACTTGCTCTTAGGTTTCAATTGAAAATCAGTAGATCATGCTTTCAAGGAAGTGTGCTACAATTGCATCTTAACTACAGCTTTTTTTCTTCAATTTCATGTTAGCATTAATCCACTGGCATATATCCTAGGTTACCTACTGCGTATAATAAACATGGATTGATTTTCTTGTATAATAAGTAAAAGGGCTTTGAACTTGATTTGAAAATGGAACTTGAAGTTATTTTAAAAGTTCAGATGTTAACAATTCTGAAACATAAGGTAATTAAAACCAAGAACCTTTAATTTGAAACTTCTTGGTTTTGGGTGTGTTTGCAATGGTAGAATAATGCCAGTTTTTATTAGACATGAGCAATTACTGTCAGACTGGCCTGGAGAGTGCTAAATAAGAATGGCTGTTCATTGCCCTATATGGCCTTCAGTAGTGTATGTTATGGTATTTATAGAGGCAAATTGAAAATGCAGAGATGAAGACAATTTTGTCCACAGACAGGAATATGCTACTTTAGTTAAAGCTAGTGAATATAATCTGAATTAAATCAGTCCTTTGAACCTCATGGTGGTATGTCACAGTATTTTTTCTGCATTTCTTGGTAGAAATGGTATGGGTGTTTAATCTCCCACTTTGGATAGAAACGTCCAGTATCCATGTGGCTTACATGGTACAATGGTGAAATGTTCAGAATGTACATACAATGTCTTGCAAAGGTACCTCCTGCCCCAGATGTTTCACATTGTGCTGTCTTACAACCTGAAATTGAATTGATTGAATTGGTATTGTTCCCATTTGATCTACTCAAGATGTGCAGCTGTGTAAAGGTGCAAAACATTTTTTTTTATTTTTGCATAAGAGTAAACAAAACCAGACTGGCACTTGTTGGTTTCATAAGTATTTACCCACTGAATTAATATTTGATAGGAGAACCTTTGGCACTAATTACATCTATCAGCCTCCTGCCAGGTTTGCACATTTGGATCCTGAGTTGGCCCTTTCTTCCTGGTAGAACTGCTCCACCCTTGTCAAGTTGTATAAGGTTAGCAGTTCTTTGCGGACTCCATCCAACACACATATGGGCGTTGCACCTGTATAGAGCCTGATTTTGGGAGGTTTCTTTGAGATAATTTTGGCAGGAACCCCCATCCTAGTTTCAGAGTTGGTATAGTAGAGGGGTTCCTGTTCATTCCCTCAGTTTTTCCTCAGCTGCCTTTGTGGCAACCTTGGAAAGCTTGTCCATTTGTTATCAATAGTGATTTTTATGTGCATTTCTGCTTCTCTGTTTTTTCTCTCTTTTGCCTCTTCCTTCTAGTTATTTTTTCTACTATTTTTTCTCCTGCTCCACTGACTTTTGCCCATTTTTGCAGAGTAATAACTCCATTCTTCTTTAGAATCTTCATTCTTTTCCATTCCTCTTCCTGTCTCTTCTTCCTGAACATTTGTAGTTCCTTTGTGAACCATATAGCACTTCCACAAACTGTGTGCACTGTGGGAGACAACTCTCAACTATTGATGGGCACTTCCTTTGTCTTTTTTGCCTGAGAGAAGGCTATGTCATCAACTCTTGCCCTCACTTGCCAAACTTTCATCAAGACAAGCTTGCAAAAATGCTTGTCGGACTGCTTAAGAGCAAAGCTATGAGCAAAGCATATCAAGTGGTAGACTCCAAGACTACTTTAGAGACTCCAGCCTAATGTTCAAGTGCATCTGCTTCGTTTTGGGTGTTATTTGAAGGTGTCCAAAACTAAGAAGTTGGCAAAGAAGGCCACAGTAGCAAAATCAGTAGAAGCTGCAAAATCTAAGGGCAGTAAGCAGCATTGAGAGAGTCACAGCTCAAATCTGGAAAGACCCATTGGTACCAAGCATTCTAGTACCTGATCTTATGGTATCAAGGCTGGAAGTGATCTTGTCAACTTAGTGTCTGATGGTGAGATCCAAGATACATTGCTTTTGCAACTGCTGGCTTGTCCTTCCCTCAAAACCATGGTATTGTGCTGCTCAGAAGCGCGTGCTCCAATGTTGATGGAGTCTGACTACTATGGAACCAACAGCTGTAGATACCCACTCCCCACTCCCCTCTCTCTGACTAGGACAGCTGTTTGGAATGGTACATCCTCCTGTACTGTGCATAGTAGGACCCTTGAGAATATCCTCAGGACTGAGGTGCCTTCCATTATCCTTGGTACTAACTGGAGTTCCATCTCAAGCTCCACTTTGGAAAGCAGGAGTGCTTCTATGGAGACTCTTCATTCCATATACTTCCACCATGGTCTAGAGCTCCATTACCATTTCCTTGGTCTATGACCCTTTCAGGGACTACAACTGAACCATGCCACTGTGCTGATTATCATACCATTCTCCTGTACATTCTAGACTGTGATCAGCTTCACCTCCTTCCAGTGCTGAAGACTACTTTTCAGACTTGGCCCAGTGCTCAGTAGTGGTTCTGTCTCTCTTTTCTGGAAGTCACTGTGGGGATCACAAATTCTGCCTCTCCATTCAGAAGAACTGGGTTACTTTTCAGAAAAAGGCCTCCAAATGGTGGGAAGGGGTGGACACAGCAACAGACAGGTCTTTGATGCTGTTCACGTAGAAGCATTGACCCCCATAACAATACTGTTTCTCCCCCCATGCCAGTGATGGTATAGCAACTGTGGAAAGCAGTTACCTTCCTCCATGAGATTGACCTCAAGCACTTGGAAGACGTGTGGAGTGCAGGAAAATATAAGAATGTAAGAAAAACCACCCTGGATGAAATTGATGATCCATCCAGTTCAGCGCTGTGTTCACACAGTAGCAGACCATAGCCAGCAAAACCAGTAGCCAGGGATAGCTGCCTCCACCAAAAAATTGTCCATTCGTCCTTTAAAATAATCCAAAGTGGTGACCATCACCTCTTCCCATGGCAAAGAATTCTATAGTTATAAATTGTGTGAAGAAGCACTACTTTCATCTGCCTTAAACTTCCCTTCTAAGCTTCAAAGGATAACCTGGGGTTCTAGTATTAATACAGAGAGAGGAAGAAATGCCCTTCCCGTTCCAGCATCCTTGACTGAATTCTATCATTGTTGAGTTAGTTCATGGACAGCTGCACTGTGAGCATTACACACCAGTAGACAGGGAAAGCTGCAGCCTGGATCTGATGGAGAGATTCATAAACTCCTGTCTTGGGACTGGGGGTGCTGAACTATCAAGCCACCATGGCTCGCTACAAATTTTTCTCTGGGACAGGATTAACTCCCTTTTGACCACCTACCAGAGGATGAAAGGGAATTAGGATATTCCAGGTAGAAGTATCTTGGCTCTTCCATCAGTTAGCAGATCAACATAGCCAGGCACTAGGTGGACTGCACTGCCGAAGTGATAGTTGAAACAGTGGAATTGAAGAGGGTGCGCTCAACAGGTCTATTGCAAGAGGTCTGTTCCAAGATCAAAGAGCTACTTTTTGACAGGGAGGGAATCTTCAGTGCAAAGATGAAAGAGCAAATTAGACGCATGGACAGCTGCAAGGTGGAAGGAATTTAACTAGCAACTACTGTCAAAATCCTGTAAGTGGTTCTGATGCAACCTGTCCTCTTACCCATCTCAGGCCCAAGCAGACTGCTCTTCTCAGCAGCGGTCAACATCCCATTCTAAATGCAGGAACGGCTCGACCATGGGTTCAAACAACCAATGGAAACCCATAGTGACTGTTTTCTCAGGCTGGTCCCTTTTCTTCTACCCCAGTCTTTGAAATTTGTCTTGTTTCCTTTCCACTTGGGAAACAATAACACTGGATGGTTGGGTTCTATTTGTGAAGCCCAGGAATACAGGATCAAGTTTATGTCTTTCTATTTCTCAGTATTGTAAGGTGTACAAATCCATCTGCTGGCTTAATTGTGAAGGTAGACTTACTGCTTCCAAATGGAGTTACAGAACGAGTCCTTCCTTTTTGGCTTCAATATGGCTTTTACCCTGATACTTTATGGTACTGAATTGGGATGCAGGACTTCGACTGATCCTGGATCTCTGGGTATCAACTTCCTATCAATCTTATATCAAGAAAATTTCATATGGTCACTGCTCCATTTCCAGGTCCCTTGCAGACTGAAACAAGAGTTCCTCTAGAATTGCCCTTCATTTGGCTCCATCCATTGGCCCCTCAGTCTTGATCAGTTGGTTATCCCTTCTTAGAAGAAGCATTCCCACAGTGTGATGCAGCTACCACTGTGTTTCACCATGGGATGATGTTTCAGGGCAATAAGAAGCAAGGCATAAATAGTTTTTGTCTCAGCAGACCAAGGAACCTTTTTACTAATGTTTGTTGTGTCTCATGCATGCCTTTTTTGCAAACTCCAAATGGGCTTTGGTATTCATTTGTTTGAAGAATGGCTTTTTTCCCACCACATTTCCATTAAGTTCAGCTTCATCAAGTACTGAGTGATAGTATGTCCCAAGAACAATTTCTCTCATCTGCTGATCTCTCCAGCTCCTTTGGTCTCTCTTACTAGGTGTTGGTGGATAACCTTCTTTAATTCCTATGAAGCCATGGCTTGTTTGTTTTTTTCATTTTGTAACAATAGATATCGTGGTGTTCTGGGGAGCATTTGTAGTTTGGGGCTTTTTAAAATAACCTAACCCTGCTTGGTGCTTCAGGGTAACTATTCCAGAGGTGTTTTTATAGCTCTTTTCATGTTGTTTATATAGGTACTAGATGCTCTCCAGTAAATTCTGGGGCCTTTCAGAAACAGCTGTATACAATGTGGCACTGGAATTGAACATTGGTGGGCTCCATTCAGTCACTTACAATGACTTCTGCAGGCAGCAAGTTGCACAAGAGCTTATTTAGGCATGTCACAGTCAAAGGGGTGAATATTTATGAACCCAACAAATGGTGATTTTTGTTTACATGAAACAAAATTTGCAATATTTTGTGCCTCTACCATGCTTACCTTATGCACATCAAGTGTTAACATTGTAAGTCAAATTCAGGGCACGTCTGCATTAAAACACAACAAAATGTTGAAAAGTCAAAGGGTTTGACTACTTCTGCAAGGCACTGTAAGAATGCTAGAAGCTGCTTTATACCAGGTCAGACTATTTCTCCATCAAGCCCTATATTGTCTGTTTCAGCTGGCAGTTACCACTCAAGATCTAATGTGGAGGATTTTCCTATTGCAATGCCATCTGGATTGATTTTTAATGAACGATATAAGGGATTGAACCTGGGATATAGTGTGAAGGTCATGTGCTCTAGCACTAAGCTAAGGTCCCTTCTATGTCTGTATTTGTATCTTTATAGGAGATGCAAATATATCTTTATATGTGTGCTGGCTTCTTATTCAGCTCTTAAAAGCCAGTTGTTGTAAGACTAGAGCAGTGATTTGAAGGCCATTGACACTAGTTTTATGATTGAAATGTTATAGGATATAGCTTACTTTTCAAAATATGGAGCAGAAACTTATGCTGACAATGTGTCTCGTTAATAATAACCAAATATGAATTGGTTTAGTTTTCAGACTCTGAGTGTGCTAAAAAGGCTTTGGAACAACTAAATGGATTTGAGCTAGCTGGCAGGCCAATGAAAGTAGGTCATGTAACTGAACGTACAGATGCATCCAGTGCAAGCTCATTTTTGGACAGTGATGAACTGGAAAGGACTGGGATTGACTTGGGAACAACTGGCCGTCTTCAGTTGATGGCCAGACTTGCTGAGGGTAAGTGCATTGGTAAAAAAACAGACTCAGTGTTATCTCTTTAAATTTTTGGCACTGCATTATCGTGCATCTTACTGTAATTCAATCTACTGATGAGTTTTGCGTAACTTAAAGGTCCCAGCCACCCGTATTCTGGAGCATTTCTAACTTAGCCTTTTTAATTTAGCTATATTGATTCTCAGGACATTGAGCATCTAGCATAAAATAAATTCTTTTTGTTCCAGGTACTGGTCTACAGATCCCTCCAGCTGCACAGCAAGCTCTGCAGATGAGTGGATCATTAGCATTTAGTGCTGTAGCAGGTAAAAACCTGTTTTCTAAATACTGTAATCTGGAAGCTAGTCTACAGAAAAAGCAGTCACTTATAGAGGAATCCTATTCATGTCTACTTAGAAGTCACATTGAGTTCAGTGGGATTTATTCCCAGATGAATGTGTATAGGACTGCAGCCTTATTCACATAATTGAGCATGATACACTTTTCAGTCTAGTTTAATTGTGCTCCTTAAGAACTTAGCTCTCTGCTAAATTACTGGGAAATGAAATGGGAACATCACTTGAGAGCTATTGATGTTTTAAGTCATAGCACATGCTATCGTAACTTTGGGTGCAATCTTAATGGATTATATCCTCATTATACGAAGTGTCTTGAGTATGTGATGTCCTGTCAGGCTGTTGCCATCAGGTTGGGAGGGAACAATTTTCACTTCTCTTTTTTCATGTTTTCCTCTAGATGGGCCTCTGAGCCCATCTAGAGGAAATGAACTGGTGGATGCTGGTGAGGTTATAGGTGTTTCTTATATCGCAGTCTCTCCTCAACCCTCCCACTAGAGCCATCTCTTTTTACCTCCATATTGGACCACACGTGTGGCCTCAAGAAGCATCCAGCATTGTTCTTCCCACAACTGTGAGGGGTCATTGGAAAGGGTCAGATTCTGAAGTATGGCTTCTGAGGTCATAATAGTATCTACAGCTTTTTAAAATGGGTGTTGGGTTATATAGTTGTGACTGCAGTGTTAACACAAATTTTATGTTGACACCACATTACCTGCTTTTATTAAGCAAATGAACCGTCAGCCCTTGCCTTTGTACCCCACATTTGTACTGTGATGCAGTTTAGAATTCTTCCTATGTAGTCCCTGCCTTTCTCTCCTGTAATCCTTAATCTCCAGCCCCAGATAGTTTAAGATGGCTCAGGTTGGCTAGAGAATGATGCACAGTTTAAATATATGCTGCACCAGTTTTGAAAAGCTTGTGTGATACTCAGATGTTCTCTTTCCCCTAGTGTTGCCTATATACCAGACTATCCACCCACAGGATGACCAGTACTCGTGTGCTGGGTGTGTGTAAGAAGTATATATTCCAAATATTGGGATATTAAATATTCTGCTTTTCTTTTTAGATTTGCAGACAAGGCTTTCGCAACAAAGTGAAGGTGAGACTGAATTTGAAAAGTGTTATACTTAGACTAGAAAATTGTCATCCATATCATTCCTGCTTGCCATGGCAAGTGTTCCCCTGTCTCTGGGGAAAAGTAACCCCCAAAGCTTGAGATAGCCCTCAACTTACATTGCAGCTTGGTTGAGAAATGAAACCAATTTCTGGGTTCCATCACCCAAACCTTGGATGCAAACAAAACAAAACTGTTTCTCCCTCTGCCCCTTGATGTTTGCAAATAAATTTGAGGTATCAGTAAGGTACAAATGAAGATATCACTAAATTAAGATGATATTTAGTTTAAATGGAGGTGTCATTGTTAAAATAAGGTAATATTTAACTTGAATTATGACTTGATAATGTTGCTTGTTTAAATAAAGCACTAACGTGAGGTGGAAAATTTCAAAATGGGAAATTTTTGAGTGCCTAATTTCCCCACAGAAAATCTTGCATTTCATCAGTTTGTTAGTAACAATGTATAGGTGTCATTTGCAAACACATTAGTTTCAAAGTTGTAGATGAGTGCTTGTCAACATATCATGTCCTATTCAGTATGTTATGCCCACATCACTGTGTTAAAAGTAAATAACACTGAAAATGTTGAGATGAAAAGAGTACAGTTTGTTTCATTTTCTGAGACAGGATTCTGTGTGCAATCATTTTATCCTGCCCCTAGGCTTGTACTCTAGTCTCTGTAGAATTGTACATATAGAGTTGCATGAGACACTGTATAGGGTGGGATACAAAATTTTTAAATAAAATAAAAATAAAATGAAAGAAATGGACGATTAACACTTTTCTTTAGTTACTAGAGGCAGATGTTAATTTAGAAAAATTCCCTTGGTTCCCAGTTAGACACATTATTTTTAGTGAGAATATGTTCATATTGTAGACATTATTTTGGCCTCAGAAAATAAAGTTCAGAGGGCTATTAATGGACTAAAGCATAGTGTAGTCACATTAATTGAATGACATAAGTTAGTTGCATATCTGGCTGATGCATTCCCTGCCTCTTCCATGTGGTTTTAAAATTGATTACATTGAAATACTGTTTTTGAAGCATTTAGTAACTAGCTTTGCAAGAAAAAAGGACCTGGTTTAGATGTACTGCTGACAGTAATTGGCCCTGGATGGTTGTTTGATTTGACCCTGGACTCAAAAACCCATAAACAGCTCAGGTTCTGGGTTGCATCTCACAAACAACTCAGAAGTGAGGTAATTAAAAGTAGAAAAGACAAATGCATGTCTTGCACAATCTGTTTTTCCTTTCAATTCCTGAATTAAATTGCCCAGGATTTGCTGGTGTGAGGTAAAACCAGGTCAGTGGCTCAAGCAGATGAGTAGATAAGCTTATCATCAGATGAAAGTTTTATATATTATGTTGAGAGGTCATATTCTTTGGTATGGGAGGGTCTCAGGATTAGCTTTACTTCTCCTTCTTCAAGACGCTGGAATTATTATGCTAATGAAATGTTAGGGCTTTGCCTGTCCTGAAAGAGCCCCTCTCATTACTTTTGCTTCCTAGCTCAGGAGATCAGCAGGACTTATGGAATATCTGAGAGGAAAAAATAATCCCCTTGCCTGTCCTCCCTCCCTCCTATTCCTTCACTCTTTTGTTAATGTTTTCCAAGACATGACTTAGTTCACTTGAGATGCTAGCCTCACCATGATTTATTTAACCGTGACTCTTGCAGGCCTGAATTTGAATATGTAATCCTCCAACAACCCCCAGTGGAGCAAGGTTCAGAGGACAGGACAGTCCCAGTTGGGACTCGTAGTGTGTGTGTGGACTGCCATTCTGAATATTTAACTCCTCTGAGGCTAAATAACTCACAATAGCCTGTAGTGATCTGCCAACTGGTCTAGTCTAATTGCCTCAGGTTCCTTAGCTAACAAACATATTCACAAAAAACCGAATGAGTTAATTTCTGCTTCCATACAAGCAACACTGGGATAACAAATGTTGCAAAACACTAAAAAACAAAATAACCAGGCATCCCATCCAAGTGTTCTGGTCGCTTTGTATTTTCTGGCCTGACACCAACAGGGAAAGAAATGTTGGCACTTATCAGAAAGGTTTTGGTTGCATTGATTGGCTCTTTTTCATCATCAGGTCTTCACTCCAAGTTTTCTATAACATAATCAACAGGTGTGAGGCACTCCTTAGCTATGCTGCCTTTCACTGCTAACACTGAATTTTGATCTTAGTTTGTTCTGTTATTAGCTTGGCTATGCTTTGAAAGTGGGGAGGTAAAGCCCTAGAAGTTTCATTAGTATAATCCCTGCATCTTGAGTTAGGAATAATAGTAAAACCATCCTGAAGGCCTTCACAAACCAAGAAGTGATAAGTGCCAACCTTCTGACTTTTCTTTTGTAATTCTGCATTGCAAATGTTCAATGTAAAGTAACTTCAGTATAAATTGAATAGTTATGCATTCTTAAAAACTTAAGCATGAACTGAATTGTGTTTGCTTTTAAAAATAAGGGAAAAATTATCTTCTTTTCAGTTTTGGCTGCAGCTGCTTCTGTACAACCACTTGCAACACAATGTTTTCAGCTCTCCAACATGTTTAACCCTCAGACGTAAGTTAATCTTCTCTAAGCTTACTTTTAAGTGTCTGTTGAGTATAAATAAGAGTTGATGAATTTCATAAGACTTTTGGTTTCCTCCTCTGCAGTGAAGAAGAAGCTGGCTGGGATACAGAAATTAAGGATGATGTGATTGAGGAATGTAACAAACATGGTGGAGTGGTTCATATTTATGTAGACAAAAATTCAGCTCAGGTATGTTGCTAAAATCAGTACCCAAAGGTTGTCTGTTCTTAAACTTCTGCAAGTTGTAGCCAAAGTAATAATACAGTGAACTACCTTTCTGGTTTTACAAAAGGATCAGGCTAAATATACTAAAATGAAACCATAACTCAGTATTGATTTGTCAGAGCACAACTGTTTATCCATCTGTGTCAATGTAAGGTCAAACATGGGTTTAACAAGCAAGAATCAGCAGCTGCAAGAGTACAGAGTTAGTGTGTTTGTAGTTGTCTCTATCAACATTTTCTGTCAGATATAGAACAACTCTGATTTGTAGCAATCTTAGTGGAAAACAGGTAACATTGAAGTCTAATCCACACAACACTGAAGTACTGTTGTCAGTGGGTGGATTGTTTAACTAACCTGGGATTAGGTGTGCAAGCGGTCTTCAGACACTAAAAAGTCAAGTCTGTAGCATGGGGATGATATTTGGCCCTGAACTTCCTTTCAGTGGGTAGGTGGCTGGGACACCTTTTTCCAACTGGTATATCAGCTGTGAGGCTTCTTCACAGAATCAGACTATGCGAAGTTGATCATTAGTTACCTCCAGATTGCACTATATTAATACATAGTGTGTGTTGATACAGTAATCCTAAGCATGTTTCAACAGAAAAAGGGTCCAACAACTTACTGCATGTCCCAGCTGCCCAACATGTGGCTGGGACAATTGATGAATGAGATACAGGAGAGCCTGTTTGGTTTGGCTCCTAACCTGTGGAATGCAATGTATGAAGTTCATCAGTCCTCAGCATCTTTTAGATGATTAACAAAGAGATTGCAGCTTCACAAAGCTTTTAACTGAGCATTATTTTGGAATTGGTTTAGGGCAGAATCCAGTTAGTGTATCTATAAGCTTCAAAGCATTAAAAGCATGATATGTGGAGTGGAGGAGGTGATCACCTTCCTGCTGCTCCCACTCTACATTTATGGTCATCTGACTCAGGTGCTTTGAAGGTAGAGGAAACGAGACAGCAGAAGACTCAGGATATGTCATGTATATCATATCCTGATCTCTACAGTCTCCTCTCTACCTACGTGGATACCCTTTTACCCCTCTCAAAAGTCAAGTTCCCATTCTTGGAGAGACAGCTGGCATGGTTCTTTCTTTGCTGGTCTGTGTGTTTGAACACAAATTCCCAGCTTCAAGATTGGTGCTCTCTTTCCAGTCTAGGCACCGTAAGAATTGTCCCCTTTGTGATGTTTTCTTCTGTGAGTGATTATTTAATGTGATTTCCTGTAATTTATTACCCATTATTGTATGAAGTACTTTAGTGTAAGCTGCTTTGAATTCACTTTGTGAAAAAATATGATATAATTGTATTAAATAAATTTAACTTTTCACCTATTCTAACTATTTACACTGCTGACTTCTACTGGTCTGCAAGTAAAAAGAGAGGAGCTGGATGCAGAAAATAAATTCCTTGCTAGAAGCAATTAACACTTGGTTGTATTTCAGGGCAACGTGTATGTCAAATGCCCTTCAATAGCTGCAGCAATTGCAGCTGTCAATGCATTACATGGAAGGTGGTTTGCAGGTCAGTAAACTCTTAATATTTTACCATATTGCTGTGTAACATGGTAGAGAAAAGGGGTTGCAAACCTCCACCTATGGGCTAATTAACCTCTCAGTCTTCCTGTCCAGCTTGGTCTCTTATAATACCTCTGTTAAAGGTGTCTGTTTCCCTTTAACTCTTCTTAAAAAGGTCTCACAACATTTCACAGTAACATGGAGTCTCTAACACACTCCCTGCATTCCAGTGTAGCTGGCTGGGGTTGGTATTGCTCCACTTCTTTTTCCACCTGCTGCTCTAGGTTTTTTCCCAACTTCCTTTCTTCCTGCAGGTACCTCCCATTCCTGAAGTGTTGAGGGAAAAAACTTTGAAAGGAATTTTTTGTGTAAGAGGAATGTCTGTTACAAGTGCTGCAGTTTTCCCTAATCTGGGTCTCCTTAAATGTACTGGTGTACAGCGTTCATCATTCCTGACTATTTATTTATTTTATTTATTTATTAAAACATTTCTATGCCGCCCCTTGCCAAGGCCTCGGGGCGGCTTACAACATCAAAGGCCTCGGGGCGGCTTACAACATCAATGACTACTGGCCATTCTAGATAGCTAATGTGAACAATAGTCCAAAACAATAGGAGAACACCCACTGGAGAAAGCCACACTTCATTATTTTTTTAGGAATGGAAAAATTATTTGGGAGAATTGCTGGTTAGGGGTTAACTGGGGGTAACCCCTACCCAGAGGGGTAAATTCATTAAAGCTGCAGGATATAGGAAGGCCAGTGATTTTGTGGATGGCTGGGTGGCTTCTTAAATGTCCTGTTTTGGTGTTAGCCATGCCTACTGATGGCATGTGGCCCAGTTACCAGAAACATGGGACAAGGGGATCCCTCACCCCTCATGTAGAGAGCCTGTTTGAAAAATAGAGACAGACCCTGTTCTTTTAGATCCCAGGGGTGTCTTACCACAAGGGCCAGGGATTCAGGGTATTATAAAGCCCTTTACAGGTTTCTATTGTGGCCAAAAGTATCTCTGCCAAACTATTCAGAGATTTTGATAAAACGTCATGGCTAGGAAGTCAATGCTGTCAATACAGCCATGTTTGCTACCATTGACCTAGAACTTCATAAGCAATTGTATTAAGACCAAAAAAAAGCCTTCAGTTGCCCATGATTCTTAGCCAAACAGAAGGTAAACCTTTGTGCCTTATAAAAAGCTCTGAAGGTGATTCGATACAACACGGAGTTACTCCTTAGTGCCCATCCCAGATTTTTGGAATATTTTATTGTGTGAGCTGTTTTTGTCCCCCTCTTAATATTTTTAATTGACTGGTTAAAATCTTGTTCTGGAAAACATTTTAATGTTATGGAACCTCTAAATCAATTTTAGGTTCCTTGAGGCTTTGCAATGCCATGCATTTTCCTTCGTTGACTACTCATGTTTAATAAATGCAGAATGCTAAACTGTTTTTGTTTCTTTTTTCTTCCTTTCCTCTGGCAGGTAAAATGATCACAGCAGCATATGTACCTCTTCCAACATACCACAACCTTTTCCCAGATTCTATGACTGCAACCCAGCTCTTGGTTCCTACTCGGCGATGAAGATGGACTTAGTCAGTTTTGTACATAGCTATTTTTGAAGGAAGACTTGAGTTACCATTTATTTAGAAGAAAACAAAAGGAAAGGGTGTAAAGTCCTTTTGTGTACATTTCCTGTTACCTTTAAACAACAAAACAAAAAAATATAGTAAGCAGGAATGCTCCGTGTTCATTCTCTTGATTAGCATTCCCACTGTATACAAAGCTGACTACTTGTTCTGCCTTGTATTACTTGTACATTTAGAACATTTGGCTAAAGTGAGCTGTAGGAACAGATGTAGCTTATAGAAAAGACTTCTGTAAAAGGTGGACAGGACATGATTTTTAATGTTTCACAAGCCTTTTCTTTTAATGCAGGTTCTGCATTTTACATTCACTTAAATGTAGATGCTCTGCTAAAGGTTAATAGCCGAATTAACTGGACATATTTAGTGTGTTTTGTATGGATTGAAAATTCAAGAGGCTACTGAGTGATTTTTTGGTCAGCTGAACTGCTCACTTAATGTTGACCAGTTGGCAAAATTGGGGTGGGGGGATTAGAGAATTTTATTTCTAGATGGTAACTTTTGATTGTCTCTGTAAAAGTTTCATGTAAATAAGGTGTAAGGTGTGTTTAGAATTCCAAACAAAGCTATCTCTGCATTTCCAAATAAAAGTTCCACTGATTGCAGGGAAATGTATCTAGTTGAAAGTTGAAGTAGGAAATGCAGGAATATATTTTGTCTGGTTGCATATAATCTCTGCTCTTTTTTAAGCTCTGTGAGCTCTGAAATATATTTTTGGGTTACTTCAGTGTGTTTGACAGAACAGCTTGATATTTCTATCAACAAATGACTTTCATATTGCAACAATCTTTGTAAGAACCACTCAAATAAAATTCTCTTAAAGGCTTCCAGAAGCATTTTTTAAAAGGATGTTAGCTGCAAATGGAGGAACACTAGTTGTATGGTTTAGTTAAAAATGCTTGAAAATCAGCATTATTCCCTCTGCAAGTAAAGTTCTGACTTTTGCCCTACATTTTCCAGTTTTGCTTATGTAAATAGAACCTGGTGTGTGCATGTGGGTCACTTAAACACTAGTACACAGCATTGAAATTAGTCCTGTTTGGGGACAGTGCCCTTTAGCCTGCTTTTTTTAAGAGTGGTACTGCTTGTGCTAGGTGGTTTCCTATTCCAAACAGTTTATATTCTTAGATTGAATTGCTATTTCCTCTCCTTTTTTCACCCTTGATGTCTTGTTCAGTTTTTCTTCATTGTGAAGGACCTGGCATCTTAAAAGCAAGCTATGATGTTTGTGGTATAGAGAAAATATAGCTTAATTTCTTACTGGAATGTGGAGGACTATGAAAAGGCTTTGTCCTTTTTATTGGAATTGATTATATTGATATCCTTCCCTTTCTTCAGAGAAGCCAAGGCACTTTGTTATCCCCCAATCTCCATTTTATCCTCATAAGAAGCTGGTGAGGTAGGATAGGCTGAAAATAAGTGACTGGCCCCAGTTATCCACTGAGTTTTATGGGAGAAACGGGTTCTAGTTCCCAATCAACAAAGTTCCATCCCATCACTAGCCACTGCCACATTGGATGTCCTAGGTCAGAACATCTAGAAATGCCCTTGTTGGGGATGTAAATGTCAGATGTTGGAAGTAGTATTTTTCATCCAGCAATCCTTACCAAAAGGTCAATTCTGCCTCAACTAGTGCAGTTTCTCCTGGCTATTGCTTTTCTTATTACTCACTTATACTTCTATTGAGGACTGCAGGTGGCGCAGTGGTTTAAACCACTGTGCTGCTTGGCTGGTTGATCAAAAGGTCACCGGTTCGAATCTGCACAACGGGGCGAGTTCTGTTGCTCCGTCCCAGCTCCTGCCAACCTTGCAGTTCGAAAGCATGCAAATGCAAGTAGATAAAAGGTACCACTTCGGTGAGCAGGTAACAGCGTTCCGTACACTTCGTTGTTTAGTCATGCCGGGCACATGACCATGGAGACTGACTGTGGACAAACTCTGGCTCCCTTGGCTAGGAAACGGAGATGAGCACCGCCCCCTAGAGTCAGGCATGACTGGACTTCACGTCAAGGGGAAACCTTTACCTTTACACTTCTATTGTCTTTATGCAAGACAGGACGCAAAAATTCTAAGAATGAGTTGCTGTGCTCATTTCCAAAATCTTGCCTCGTTAAATATTGGAAACATTTGTTTTTGAAAGACCAGATGTGAATTGCCTTCCTAACCATGATGCACTAGTGAGAGCCATTGAGGCACATTTAAAGAGGGACAATACCTTTTCAGGGACTAAAAGACACTACATAATGTGCAAGTGGTGATCACAAATTCAGCAGATGAAAATACATGAGGGGCAGAGTGTGAACAAATAAAGCAAGAGTTATACTATATGAACACTTACCAATGGTTTAATAACACTATAAATATCTCATTCTATATGCAAATTAAAAGATGCATGAAAGATCTTATGCAGTTCCTATTGTGGTAATAACCATATTGACATCTTCCTTGTATTAGGCATTGGGCCTCTGAAAACCATTTGATTTGTGTAGACTGGTGTGGAGGCTGGAGTGTTAGACAAGGAATCTGGGAGATCTATTCCTTCAACTATGAAGCTCATTGGGTGACTTTGGGCTAGTCATGCACTCAGTCTAACTTCAAAGCTTGTTATGAGAATCAAAATGGGAGTACAGAAGAACTTCAAGACATTGGAAGCAGTTTGTATTCAGTTAACAGCCTCCTTGGGCAACATCTGCATTACTAAACTACTGTTGATAGAAGAGTCTGTTGTTATCTATATATATGAAAGACAACCTAAATGGTTTTTCACTAGAGCTTGCTTCTGCAAACTTTATACAGCAAAGCTAATATTAAAATCTTTGAATAATCAGTGAGCTGATAAAAAACATACCCACCTAAGAAATAAAACCAGTTATCCAGTTGAAAAGGATGCTACTAAAATTGTTCCACCTGGTTGTCAACTATTTCAAATCAAATTCAAAAGTTTTTTTGTATTGCTAGAAAGGTATTCATTGTTCTCTGGTCTTGCTAAGTTTGTATGAAGATATTACAAACTGCTGATATTGCTATAAAGGCAGAGACTTCGCTCAGTCCTGGTGCAAAGATATTTATTATATTACATAGCGGGAGTATTAATCTTCATGGTAAAAAAATTAACATTCCAATCTAACACCGGATACCCATGCCAATTGACATAAATGTTCCAAATGTTCCACCACTCTGTATCATGGCTTTGCCAATGCCACCCATCAGTTCTCGTCCTCTCATGCCAATCCTAAAAGAGAAGGAACAAAATTGTACAATGGGTTATTTACCGCAATAAACAAGGACAATTTTTTTATCTGATGGCAAGCAAATAAGTTTGCCTTGCAAATCTTGAAATATTTGAGTTTATGCTTTCCAGTAAGCTGAGGAATAAGCAGGATATGGATTCTTTTGATCTTAAGTGGAGTTGCTCTTCAGTATTTGACATCAGAAATCATAGGATCAAGAGAAAAATCTACCCCATGTTGAGAGTGGAACTGAGATCCTGCTCATATACACACAAACATTTGACAGTAAATGGCTTGATACCCAAGTAACTTCAGAATAAAGGAGCTTCTTTTAATATTATTTTAATCCAATGGAAAATCCCACTAATGGAAGGAGACAACTTTTTCCAAATCTCCCTGCCCCTGCTCCCCAAGTGTCCCATCTCTCTGAAGCAGATTCTGTGGCCTACAAGAAGAGGCAGCAAGAGGTGCCTCCATCTTCCTCCTGGCAGCATGAGTGGTTGTATTGTGATAACAGAAATCAGTGCTGAGGATGATATAAACAGATATTAAACCTTTAAAAACTATATACATTGGGATACATTTGTAGAACACTGCTCATGAACCCTCAGAAACAGTGGCTATGAAGAAGCATTACATGGTACGGTGGTTCCTTGGCTCATGAATTTAATCCGTTCCAGGACTCTGGTCATGACCCAAATTGGTCGTGAGCCAAGTTAAATTTCCCCGTAAGTTCAGTGTAAATAAGGTTAATCCGTTCTGTAAGCATTTTTTAAATCAGAAAAATGTGAAGCAAAGTGACAACAACAAAGATCGCAGCTATCTCCCCCACACCCCGAGCACAAGCGCAGCCATCTCCCCGCCTCCCCAGCACGACCAAGATCGTGCTTGTCATTCCTGCAGACGCCCATCATCCCAGCGTGCTGGGGGGTGGAGATGCCCGTGATCTTGCTGGCTGGGAGGGATGACCGAGATTGCACCCGTCTTTCCTGCAGCAGCACACCCGTGATCACGCACGTCTTCCCTGGACGAATGGAACTGCAATCGTGGCCATCTTCCCACTCAGGGAGAAAATCCCTCAGAAGAAATGGAGTAGCCTTCACAGTCAATAAAACAGTAGGAAAAGCAGTAGTGGGATACAATCTCCAAAATGACAGAATGATCTCAGTTCGAATGCAAGGCAAACCATTCAACATCACAATTGTCCAAGTCTATGCCCCAACCACTGATGCTGAAGAGGCTGAATTGACCGGTTCTATGAAGGCCTACACCACCTTTTAGAATTAACACCAAAAAATGATGTCCTTATCATCATGGGGGATTGGGATGCTGAAGTAGGAAGCCAAAAGATAACTTGAATAACAGGCAAGTTTGGCCTTGGAGTACAAAATGAAGCAGGGCACAGGCTGGTAGAATTTTGTTGAGAATACGATAGTCATAGCAAACACTCTTTCCAGCAACCCAAGAGACGACTCTGCACGTGGACATCACCAGACGGTCAACAGAGAAATCAGACTGACTCTGTGCTCTGCAGCCAAAGATGGAGAAGCTCTATACAGTCCGTAAAAACTAGACCAGAAGCTGACTGTGGCTCATGAGCTGCTTGTTGCAAAATGTAGGCTTAAATTGAAGAAAGTAGGGAAAAGCACTAGGCCAGTCAGGTATAACCTAAATCATATTCCTCATGAATATACAGTAGGGGTGACAAATAGATTTAAGGAACTAGATCTGATAGAGTGCCTGAAGAACTATGGATGGAGGTTTGCAACATTGTACAAGAGGCAGCAACTAAAACCATCCCAAAGAAAAAGAAATGCAAGAAAGCAAAATGGCTGTCTGAGGAAGCTTTACAAATAGCTGAGGAAAGAAGGGAAGCGAAAGGCGAGGGAGAAAGATACACCCAATTGAATGCAGAATTCCAGAGAATAGCTAGAAGAGATAAGAATGCCTTCTTAAATGAACAGTGCAAAGAAATAGAAGAAAATAATAGGGAGGACCAGAGATATCTTCAAGAAAATTGGAGAATGAAGAGAACATTTCATGCAAATATAGGCATGATGAAGGACCAAAATGGCAGGGACCAAATAGAGGCAGAAGACAAAAGACAAAAGAACTATACAAGATTATACAGAAGAACTATACACCCTGATAACCACAATGGGGTGGTCTCTGACCTCAAGCCAGACATCCTGGAATGTGAAGTCAAATGGGCCTTAGGAAGTCTGAGCAACAACAAAGCTAGTGGAGGCGACAACATTCCAGCTGAGCTATTCAAAATCTAAAAGACGATGCAGTAAAATTGCTACACTCCATATGTCAGCAAATTTGGAAAACTCAACAGTGGCCACAGGATTGGAAAAAGCCAGTTTACATTCCGATCCCAAAGAAGGGCAATGCCAAAGAATGTTCAAACTTCCACACCATTGCACTCTTTCACATGCTAGCAAAGTTATGCTCAAAATCCTACAAGCAAGGCTCCAGCAGTATGTGGACCGAGAACTACCAGAAGTACAGGCAGGATTTCATAGAGGGAGAGGAACTAGAGATCAAATTGCCAACATATGCTGGATCATGGAGAAAGCTAGGGAGGTCCAGAAAAACATCTGTTTCATTGACTATGCTAAAGCCTTTGATTGTGTGGATCATAACAAATTGTGGCAAGTTCTTAAAGAGACGGGAGTACCAGACCATCTTATTTGTCTCTTGAGAAACCTATATGCGGGTCAAGAAGCAACAGTGAGAACTGAACACGGAACCACTGATTGATTCAAAATTGAGAAAGGAGTTTGGCAAGGCTGTATACTGTCACCCTGCCTATTTATATGCAGAGCACATCATGAGAAGGGTGGGGCTAGATGAATCACCAGTTGGAATTAAGATTGCTGGGAGAAATATCAACAACCTCAGATACACAGATGATACCACTCTAATAGAAGAAGTGAAGAGGAACTAAAGAGCCTCTTGATGTGGTTGAAGGAGGAGAGCGCAAGTATAAGAGAGTATAAGAAAACTACTCACTGAAAATAGTATGTAAGACCAAAACTATTAAAACTCCATCCTGTTTAGTCACTGCATTTATTATAAACTATTATTTTCCCAGGATCTTTTTGTATTATTCCCAAGAAGTGTAAAAGCTGAAGAACTCAAGACTATGATTTTTTTTTACTATTATGAATAAAATGTTAAAAACTAAGTCTTCATATATTGCTACATAGCTTTTATTTCCTCAAGTTCTTAAGTCAGTTCTTTAAAATACGCAATTGGAAGACATTGAAAGACTAGGTGGTACAGTATATCACAGAAGTGAGTACACCCCTCACATTTTGTAAATATTTTATTATATCTTTTCATGTGACAACACTGAAGAAATGACACTTTGCTACAATGTAAAGTAGTGAGTATACAGCTTGTATAACAGTGTGAATTTGCTGTCCCATCAAAATAACACAGCCATTAATGTCTAAACCGCTGGCAACAAAAGTGAGTACACCCCTAAGTGAAACTGTCCAAATTGGGCCCAAAGTGTCAATATTTTGTGTGGCCACCATTATTTTCCAGCACTGCCTCAACCCTCTTGGGCACAGAGTTCACCAGAGCTTCACAGGTTGCCACTGGAGCCCTCTTCCACTCCTCCATGATGACATCATGGAGCTGGTGGATGTTAGAGACCTTGCACTCCTCCATCTTCCATTTCAGGATGCCCCACAGATGCTTGATAGGGTTTAGGTCTAGAGACATGCTTGGCCAGTCCATCACCTTTACCCTCAGCTTCTTTAGCAAGGCAGTGGTTGTCTTGGAGGTGTGTTTGGGGTCATTCTCATGTTGGAATACTGCCCCGCGGCCCAGTCTCCAAAGGGAGGGGATCATGCTCTGCTTCAGTATGTCACAGTACATGTTGGCATTCATGGTTCCCTCAATGAACTGTAGATCCCCAGTGCCGGCAGCACTCATGCAGCCCCAGACCATGACACTCCCACCACCATGCTTGACTGTAGGCAAGACACACTTGTCTTTGTACTCCTCACCTGGTTGTCACCACACACGCTTGACACCATCTGAACCAAGTAAGTTTATTTTGGTCTCATCAGACCACAGGACATAGTTCCACTAATCCATGTCCTTAGTCTGCTTGTCTTCAGCAAACTCTTTGCAGGCTTTCTTGTGCTTCCTTCTGGGACGACAACCCTGCAGACCAATTTGATGCAGTGTGCGGTGTATGGTCTGAGCACTGACAGGCTGACCCACCACCCCTTCAAGCTCTGCAGCCATGCTGGCAGTACTCATACATCTATTTCCCAAAGCCAACCTCTGGATATGACGCTGAGCATGTGCACTCAACTTCTTTGGTCTACCATAGCAAGGCCTGTTTTGAGTAGAACCTGTCCTTTTAAACCACTGTATAGTCTTGGCCACCGTGCTGCAGCTCAGTTTCAGGGTCTTATCGCCTAGGCCATTTTTATGAAGAGCAACAATTCTTTTTTTCAAATCCTCAGAGAGTTCTTTGCCATGAGGTGCCATGTTGAACTTCCAGTGACCAGTATGAGAGAGTGAGAGCAATAACACCAAATTTAACACACCTGCTTCCCATTCACACCGGAGATCTTGTAACACTAATGAGTCACATGACACTGGGGAGGGAAAATTGCTAATAATGCCCAATTTGGACAGTTTCACTTAGGGGTGTACTCACTTTTATTGCCAGCAGTTTAGACATTAATGGCTGTGTGTTATTTTGAGGGGACAGCAAATTCACACTGTTATACAAGCTGTATACTCACTACTTTACATTGTAGCAAAGTGTCATTTCTTCAGTGTTGTCACATGAAAAGATAAAATATTTACAAAATGTGAGGGGAGTACTCACTTCTGTGATATACTGTATATAAGAAAAAGGTTATTAAGCAGTAAAATCATGCTAGATTACATTAACCTTATTACATTAGCATTATATCACATTAAACTCATTCCCTAGTCAGTGAAAGTGGGGTAAGGAAAGAAATTCTTCCTATGTCCTACAGATATTATAGCAGTCTGTCTCCAACATACCTGAGGCAAGAAAATGTACCAAATAGTGCACCTGCTGCCATGCCAACAGCAAAGCCCATTGTGAAGCCCATTTTCACTCTGTCAAAGCAACTGGGTTGGGACTGGCCATATGGCCCTACTGTCACAGGCATCTAGAAAAATAAATGAAATAATACATTATACCTCTCATAAATTGACACCTATTATTTCTATGAATAAGACTCCCACTCATAATCTAGATGGAACATTCAGAAGTAACAACTCACAAGGATTTCAAAAAGGTTGTATTTTGTTTTTATTTCAGTGAACCATTTCTATATTAGCATTTCAACTGGAATTCAATTAAGAAGTTGTACTTCACAAAAAGCCCTATATTTCCTAATGACTACATGCACATCCATATCAGTTGGATATTTACATGAACAGTCATGGTGGTTAGGAAGTTTCTGGAAGCTAGGAAAAACCTGAAAAGGATTCCTCTGTTTTTTCATCTCACAGTGCCAAAAGGTGTACATGGTAATTACAGAATTAACATAAATGAACCGAAACTATGCCTCCAGGGGTTTATTTTCTCAAATTACATATGATTTACACAATAAAGGAAGTCTGAAAGTTATATTTTAATGTTTCTTAAACCTTTTATTATGTGATGTGATGCTATATACAATTAAATCAACAAAATGTACAGATGTCCATTGTATATATCTAGGGTCATGTTAGTCCTGTCTTTTGGAGTAAGCCTCTGTGATCAAATTGATCTCAGATTTGTGAACATTTAGCTACAAGAGTTTCTTTGGGTTGGGGAGTGTACAATGTGACAGAAGTTTAATGCTGAACTGTGAATGAATGACAGGGACTAGACTAGTAAGAAACGTGTTTGGATCTAACCTCATTGTATTTGCAGTCTTATCCTACATATAAATTCTGGGTGCGCTTGCACAACACACAAACCCACCTGGTGAATAAGCTATGCACAACTAGGCATTATCCCTTTCCTCCCCTCACCTCCTCAAGGCTTCTACCCAGCACCTCAGAGCACTTGGTGGTTCAAGCTACCTTTAATTATTTATTAGATTTTATCCCATCCATTAGCCAAAATGGCTTCTCTTCTCTTTGTGCTCTTAAGCCCCTTTATGCTCACAGGGATTTCCCCCTTGAATGACTTGGCAACTCATCCTGTGTACAACTCCTAAAATGTGAAATAAAAATGTGATAAATGTAAACTCAAGTTAGCAAAAAACTTCCAAACGAAAAGAACCTGAAAATAACAGGCAAACAAAGGACAGAAACTTTTGATAAATACAGCTGGCTTAAACACCATTTAATAATTTTGGAATTCTCTTGCATGACTTAAGCAATCTTGCGTCTAGAACATAAACCAGCAGACACTTAGTGGTCTTTTGATTCTGTTCTTCATTTAACGTTCATTTCTTTTACTTTTTTTCCTGTTGCCCTTTGAACTTGCCCCACTGGTATATGGAGCTATATACCGATTTTCTAAATAGTTAATATTATAGCAATTCTGATATAAAAACGATATACTTCAACAGGCTACATTCAATTCTGGTAAGGCTATCAACATTTTTCCCCTAAAAAAATGCTCGCTTTTGGAATCTTTTGCTTAAAAAGGCACAGAGAAAACAAAACAGGTCCATTATCGATGGTGATCAGCGGACAAGGCTTCAAGATAAGACACCCTAATTTACTTTTTTTCCGGCTAGGCGGTCGTAAGCCTCCAAGTACACTCAGGTACGGGTGTGTCTTTCTGCCACATTTGTTTATTGAATACCTCAGCTTGTGTGAGTTCAACAACCCGTGGCGGGGAAGATTACGGTTCGGAGACGAACTCCAAGCATGAACTGTACCGCTCCGGCAACCAAAGGGCCGGAACGCGCCCGCTCCCTCACGCTCAAAGACACCTAGAGCGAGACAAACTACCCTGAAACGCTTCGTTTTCCGCCCCCTCCCTCGCACAGACTTTGCCCATTCTCTGCGGCAACCCCCCACCTCACCTCGACCGCTCCGATCTCTGTCGATCCCGACTTTCCCTAGGTTCAGGTTCAGCTTCCGTCACGCTCTGATGATGTAACCGGAAATAGCGCTTGAGCGGGGTGAAGGGTCAAGCGTCGTACCTGCTGGTGCTTGTAGTTGTGTTGCTTTGAGAGGAGGCGGGCCGGGTGTGAAGATGCTCGTGTTACGGCCGGCGGCATTGCGGGTTATGCGAGGGCTGCTGCTCTTTCAGGGGAGAAGTCTTTCGGGCGCTGCGCAACAGCAAGGTAACACTTCTCGTTTGCTGTTGAATCCAGCCGTAAGGGCAGAGGCGGCTGGACCCTGGGCGCGTCTGAGTTTTCGATAGGAGCAGCTCGTAGGCGGCTCCCTTCGCAGCTGCCATGACATCTGCCTCCCGGGCAGTATTTTCATTTTTTCTGGTTGCCGGTTTGGCAAACGTCATGCACGTAAAGAGTGGAAAGAGGGAGGCTCATTCCGTCCTCTCTTGTCCAAGATCTCACTTGCTGCTTCGGCAGTATTGCTTTTTCGCGGATTTCTCTTGTGATTCAGAAACGGCTGGATAATAGTGAAAGTCAAGAAAGAATAAGCAGCCAAGGGTGTTGTTAAGCCATAAGACCAAAAGTTCATTTCAGATGTCAGAAAGCCGGGGCCCTCTAGATTTGCGGGCAACAACTTCCATTATCTTTAACTGTGGACAACGCATCTGGAGGGTGTCAGCTTGGCGCAGTCTGGTTTAGATGGAGAAGTAACCCTGTGGTAGGCGTGGCAAGCCCGAATTTATTTATTTTGCTAGCTCCGAACAGCCAAGGCTTTCTGGACACTCAACAAACATCACAGATGGCTCTAATGTAGCAAAAGAAAGCTGAAGAGCAAAATGAGTTACTCTCTCCCCAGCACAATAAATGGCTCTGTGTCTATATCCTGCTGTAACTGAGGGATTGTTGAGATATAGTAATTTGCAATTTTCAAAGTGGGTGTTGTATTGCATAAAAACAATTGCAGAGATCAATTGCGAAAAAGCATCAAAGAATCATGTAGTCCACTTTAGCAGCTGCATGCAGTATTATGGAGAATTTCAAGTTTACATATTATACTATAGGGAAGGGGGAAGACATTTTCTCTTAAAATTTCTTAAAACTGTAGGCTTATTCACAGTGTTGATCATCTATTGTTGCAATCCTAATGAATCTAGCATTCTGAATTGGAAAGTATTTTATGTTATTTTTTTACATTTCTATACCCCTCGTAGCCGAAGCACTCTGGGTGGTTTGCAGCGATAATCATTTAAGTCACCCATCCACATTCTAACCAGGACCAGATTAGGCAGGATTTGGCACTTCCGGGTATGAAGAACCTATATGAAAACTATTTGCCTTTTTTTTCTTTTGCTAAACTAAGACATCAAAAGTGTAGATAATTTTACCACTTCAGAGTTTCACTGTGAGTTCATCTCAGCTGATTTCACTTAATTAGTTTTCTCTATAAATGGGCAAATAATATTGTAAAATGCTATATTTTGCTAGAAAGACAGTGTTACATCTGACTGACTTGCCTGGCCCTGTGTATTTTGATCTGGAGATCAACTGCTGTAGCTTAAATATTAACATTCAGAAAATCGGTTGAAACTTGTGATACTGTGTTACATTGTTTTTATTAATGAATCTCTGTTTAGATTATATCATATATTGGGATAACTTTTCCCCTCCTCAACCTTCTGTGTCTATAACTTGTTTGGCTTTTTCACATGCAGCAAACCCTGGGAGGTGGTGCGGGGGAGAGTGTTTTTTGCAAATTTTCATTTGTCATTTATACAATTGTCTTTTCCTAGGCAAAAGCAGTGTTGATGATTCTTCACTTCGGCCACTGTACATGGATGTCCAAGCAACTACTCCTTTGGTTTGTCAAAAGACAGTCTTTAGGGAAGAATTAAGAGAGCAGAAGTAATAGATTAGCCATATGCATGAGGGATGCCTAACCTTGGGCCCACAGAGTTTCTGCATTCAGCCTGTAGAGCCTCCTTGGGTTTTTCCAGGTGGTTGGCCTCCAGAACTGAGAGTAGTGGGGATGCAGATGGCAAGGGACCTGAACCAGGAAGTGCGGCTACTATTCCAGGCACAATAAGTGACTTTGAACAGAGCACGTTGCTTCCATGGAGATAGTGCATGTCACCCAAAGTCAGGGATTTCACCAATGTCAAGAATATTAACTTCTCTTCCTAGTACTTTTCTGTTTTGGAAGAGGTATAAAAGAGACACAACAGTCCCTTTTTCCATGTTGCAAGAGGCCTTTTTTGGCAGGAAGAAAAGCAAAATGGCCAGAGGCCTTGCTCATGGATATCGTCTGGCTTGCTGCAGGCTGGGGAGCAGGGAGGTCAGGTAACATTCATTTGTTCCCTGCTGTGGAAGTTTACTCAGATGTAATCCCCACTGCTCCGTGGGCTTACTCCCAGCTTAGCATGTGTAGGTTTGCAGACCCAGTTTTCTGCCTTCACTGATGGATTTGATTGGTGAAAACATCACACTGAAAATGTTTTAACATTTACAGTGTGTTCTTAATCATAAATATTTAAAAAGTCTATTCACTTCAGAGTCTATTGTACAGTAATGTATATAGGGTGTGGCAGTAGAAGTAGATGATTCATTGGCTTTGGAGAAAATAAGGCTATATGTTGCAGATTTTTTAAAAGGATGAAGTGAAATAGGAAAACTGTTTCTATGTATGTATGTATTTATTGTATTCTAATTCTAGGATCCCAGGGTTTTGGACAGCATGCTGCCTTACCTTGTTCATTACTATGGTAATCCACACTCTAGAACTCATGCTTATGGTTGGGAGAGTGAATCTGCTATGGAAAAAGCCAGACAGGTTAGACCTGAATTGTCCTTATAACTGAATTATAAACCTGTCTCTGTTGCTTTATTAAGCAGTTGTATTCTCTGGTGAATTTTATATTCTTCAAATGCTGCAACTTATATTTGTGTTCCTTTTTTCCTAGCAAGTTGCATCATTAATTGGAGCAGATCCTAGAGAAATTATTTTTACAAGTGGAGCAACAGAATCAAACAATATAGCAATTAAGGTAAATGGGTGCATTGTAAACTATAGTTCTAAATAAGGCAGAAGTTGAATGCACCAATACCAATATGATACATGCTCTCCTTTGCACACATGGCTAGATTGAGCATAGTAAACATTAGGCAAACCTTTGAAAGGGTGCTTAACTTGTCATCTTGTGTGTAGTCTTGTTTAAAGTCAGTGAAAGCTATGATTTCTTTACATAGAAATGCTCCAAAGGAAATTATTTGAAAAGTGCTGTTGATGCTGTATTTTTACAACAGAGCCACAAAATATCCTGAAATACAAGTGGGAGCTGCAAGAAAATACTGCAATGTGAAGAACTTCTGTTCAGAACACTCAGTTCCATTCCTTCCTACAGCCGGTAGTCTGTAGCTACTGGGTATTTTGCTAAAGGGTTTTAAAAATACTTTTGTGAATCTTGGAGTTCCCACAAGCATGTTGATACTTCACTCTTCTGTGGTGTCTTCTTATGTAAATGTGTGTATCATAACTTAATGAGATTTTATAGTGAGATGACTCAGTAAAAAGTCATAAACTGAAATAGATCTTGCAGTGTAATCTTCTATAATCAGAAGTAGTCCCCATTGCATTAAATGCAATCTGTTTCAAGGTCATTATGTATATGTTTGCCTCGATTTTAAGCAGACTGCAAATATACTCTATTGAAAATAACATTTACTTCTGAGTAGACAGGTATAGGATTTTGCTGTTCTTAGGGAATAAATCATATTGAGCATAGTGAGTAAACATGCATAGGATTGCACTATTTGTTATTGTATTAAATTTCTGCTGTCCCTTAAATCAGCCTTTCCCAACTTGGTGCCCTTCAGATGTTTTCTTCTCCATTTCCCATCAAGCCCAGTTAGTTTGGCCAATGGTCAGACATGGTGGGACTTGTAGTCCAACATACCTGAATGGCATCAGATTGAAGAAGTCTGCTTTAGAGTCTTCTAGTAGAAATTCTGTAGCTGAAAGTCATCCAGATTTTAAATAGTCTATTTTGCAGCTAATCCTGTCTGGCTTTTATGTAAGTCAACTATGCAGAGGAGGAGTTATGCTGAAAGCCATTTGTTCACAGCCATTTGAACAGACAAGTTCCTCTCCACAATCTGCAGTTTGCTGAGGTTTTTGTCACTGCAGATTTTTTTAGTAGCGATATCCAGTATACTAACCTTCCCTGACTTGATGCCCCTTAGACATTTTAGACCAACTTGCATTAACTCCATCAACATGATTAATAATCAGGAATGATGGCAATCCAGTTATGGAAAGCGGTTAGGATAGCCAGATGCTAAAGAGGACAGGACACTTGCACTTTTAATAGTTGTATAGAAAAGGGAATTTCAGCCAAGTGTAGCTATACAATAATCAAAGACGCAAATCTCTTTTTTCACTCTTTCCGCACCCTCCGTTTTGCATCTGACAGCCCTAAAGTTTGTATTATAGTAGAGAATGTACTTTGAAACAAACTATCAGTCATGGCTACACATGTTTAAACAATTAATTTAAGCTGTAAATCTTAGAATTATTTGAATTGTGTAGGATTGCACTGGAAAAATATAAAGGAGTAAGTCCCATTGAATTCACTAGTGCTTACTATCAAGTAAGTATGCAAAGAATTGGTATTAGTTACCCAAAATATCTGGGCATTTTTCATTCCTGACATGATATTCAGGGTTGTCTTAACGCATGGGCCTGATGGGCACTTGCCTGTGGGCCCCATACTAATCTGTGTATGGAAACCTTTGGAAAATTGGAAAACTTCCAAAATTAACAGTAGTTGTAGTTGTCGTAGGGGCCCCAGTACACTGCTTTGCCCTGGGCCCATAATGCTGTTCAGACGGCCCTGATGATATTTATAAGATTTACTGCTTTACTTCATTTTTACCTCTTTTAACTTGGCTTTTCCCTGTTTTATCTATGTAAAGGGTGTTGCAAGATTCTATAAATCCAGGAAAAAACATATAATTACAACACAAACTGAACACAAATGTGTACTGGACTCTTGTCGTGCCTTGGAAGCAGAGGGTTTTCGAGTAACGTATTTGCCTGTAAAGAAAAATGGGATTATAGATTTAAAGGTAAGTTTCTCTTTTACTACAATGAAACTTGCCACATATTTAGAATTGTACATCAAAACACACCTGTTTATTTGAAAGATTTGTATACCACCCATATGTCCTAACAAGAGCTTCCAAATTATTTATTTTTTATTTAAAACATTTCTATGCCGCCCCCATTGCAAAAAAGCCTCGGGGCGGCTCACAGCATAATTAAAACATATAAATAACAATTAATACAATTAAAGATTAAAATCTCTAATTGTATTAATTGTTAGAGATTAAAATCAAATCAATTTATATTCCATAATATGCAACCAAATAAAACATCACAGTGACATTGTGTGTCATTGTTGTGAAAAGCTTGAGATAATTTCTAAAAGAGTTTTCACCTGGCAGTGCTAAAGCATCTTGAACTGTTTACCTCTCTCGTATGTTTTCATTAGGACCTAAAAAATGCAATACAACCAGATACAAGCTTGATTTCAGTAATGACTGTGAATAATGAAATAGGTGTGATACAGCCAGTCAGCGACATTGGTAAGTAATAGATGCTAATCGTTTTCTCAGTTCTGACTAATAGGTGATGGTTGTTCTTGTTAGGGTGACCCTGTAAAAATGTCCTATCCATGACATCCCTGCACTGTTTTGTTTTGTTTTTTAATTCAAAGATGTGGCTTCCCTTATAGAGCCAATCCATCTCATATTTGGTCTTCTCTTTCTTCTGCCTTTGACATTGCTGGCATGATTGTTTTCTTCCTCCCTTTTCATTTTCTTCTCATGATGTGCCCAAAGTATGACAGCCTCAATGTTGTTACTTTTCTTCCAGGGAATGTTCTGGCTTGAAAATAATAGCATGAGCTTATGTAGAATAAGTGAAATGCTCATATAAGCATGACGGCAGAACATACAACATTGTGACAAATAATTGCCCTAACTTGGGACCAAATCACCAACAATCTTTCAATGGTTGGTTCACACATCACAGCAATCCACTGTGGCAATTCACTATGGTGGATTAGTTGTTTTGCAAAATACCCCCGAAGAGCGAGCCCAGCAGACAGTTAGGCTCATTGTGCATGGTTCACTCCCTCCTTCCCTCTCCTTCCTCCAGGGGTCACAGTGGAAGTAACAAGTTCTCTGCTGCAGTATGGATGTTTTTGGTTTGCCGTGGCCATTTAAATTTGACAGGAAATCATAAAAGCTGACTTGATCTCCATTTGGATAGCTAGAAGTTGTCTCTTCAGAGTACCTCAGTGGCACCATGAAGGGGCTCACCATGGCTGCCCAGTGGGTGTATTTTTAATGTGCAGAACATTATTTTAAAACAATCCTATTTGCATAAAGTGCTTGTTTACTCAGGCACAAGTAGGTTGTGCCTAGCCTAGCCTGAGGAAATGTCCAGGAAGTAATAACAGCGGCAAGGGTCGCATATGCGCAGTGTTGGAGAAATGAAGAGCTACCAGCTGAAGACTTGATCTTGAACAAGATATTGGACTGTGCAGAAATGGATAGATTGAATTTATCTCTTAAGGAAAAAGAAGATACAGTTTATCACCAAACATGGGACTTTTTCTATCAATGGCTGCAGAATCAGAACTCTAATATGGGCTAAAATGCATAGCATTTGTAGAGAAATAAGACTTTGTACACAGTATGTTTGAAGTCTTCAGAATAATTATTTGTTTAGTGAGTATACAACAATAAAAGTTTAGAACCTGAAAAGAAAATGTTTCTTTTTTTTTTTGCACATTTTTTATTAAGATTTTAAACTAAAAACTAAAAAATGATCAGTCATCAAATACATTGGACATACTGGGTCAGCCCCCTATAACATATCTTTTAAACATTCTATAATCATATTCAAATCGATTTATAAATTTTAAAGACATCTTTAAATCTAAGCCAAGTCCCATTTCTCTAGCCAATCGTAGGTCCCAAGTTTGATAGAAGTCAGTATCTTCCTTCTCCTTCAATAATAGAGTCAATCTGTCCATTTCTGCACAATCCAGAATCTTTTTTAAAATCAGTTCCTCAGTGGGTAGTTCCTCACTCTTCCAATATTGAGCAAGCACAATCCTCGCCGCTGTGATTAAATGTAGCATCAAATACATTTCTTGTTTGCTAATATTTTCCAGTACAATGCCTAACAAGAAAATTTCAGGTTTAAAAGCTAAGGGTTTTTGTAGCATTTCCTCAAGCCATGTATGTATTTTAATCCAATACTTTTTCACATATTCACAAGTCCACCACATATGGTAAAAAGTACCCACATCATGTTTACATTTCCAACATCTGTTTGACATATTTGGAAATATCTTAGCTAATCGATTTGGTGACAAATACCATCTATAAAACATTTTATATAAATTTTCTTTATACGAGGTTGCTAAAGTTACCTTAATATTTCTCTCCCATAGCTTTTGCCACTTTTCTAATTCAATATTATATCCAAAATTTTGTGCCCATGTTATCATAGTTTCCTTAACCTGTTCCCCTTCCATTTTCCTGTCAAGAACTCATAAATTCTTTTAATCATTTTCTCACCTGTTTTTAACATCACTTGATCAAAGGCTGTTAGGTCTTTATAAAACCCCCATATTTTACAATCTTTAGCATATCTTGATTGCATCTGCACCTTATACCACCAAGAGACATTGAGTCCCTGCTCTTGTATTTCTTGATCTAGTTTCAGGCCTCCATCCTTATCCATAGGTGAAAGCCATCTCAGTAACTTATTATACAATTTTGACTTTAACTTTTCCCACACTGACATTAATGATCTTCTAATAAAGTGACTTAAAAAAGTCCCATGAGACTTAACCTTCTCATACCACATATAAGCATGCCAACCCATTTGCAAATCATGTCCTTCAAGATACAAAATTCTCTTATTTCGCAAGGTTATCCATTCTTTTATCCATGTTAAAATAGACGATTGATAGTACAACATCCAATCCAGTAACCCAAAACCCCCATTCTTTTTGGTTTCCTGAAGCATTTTTAGTTTAATCCTTGCTTTCTTTTTTCTCCAAATAAATTTCGAAATTTGAAAATTTAAATCCTCAAAAAATTTTTTATCAATTTTTACAGGGATCATTTGGAACAAAAACAAAAGTTTTGGTAGTATGTTCATTTTAACCAGTGCTATTCTTCCCATCAAAGACAATTGCAAATTGGCCCATCTTTCCAGATCACCTTTAATATCTTTCACTAATTTATCATAATTGTCTTCTTTCAAAGTTGTGCATTTAGCTGTAAGATAGATTCCCAAGTATTTAACCTTTTTAACAATCTGCAAGTCCACTTGTTCTTGGAGTCTTTTTTTCTGATCTTGCGTAAGATTTTTAACTAATGTCCAGGAAGAGGTGCTTGTTGTCAGGGGGCACTGTCCCATAAGGAAGCCTTCTTTTTTGTTGTTGTTTTGTGCCCTCTTTTTGAAGTCCCCTCCCCTTTTTAAAAGGAAACAATTTAATGATTAACTGTCAAAACCTGGGGGTCCTTTAAAATGGGGAGAGAATAAAGGACTTGAGTGGAGTTGTACTGGGAAATGCTTCTGAGCAGGTGGGAGGGTACTGTTGAACTCGTATCCTGCTTTTGGGTTTCCTGTGTTGTGCAAACAAAATGCTTCACTAGATGGATCCAGCATGGTGATTCTTACATTCCTAGAAGAGTAAAACATTGCATTAAAGTGATAATTTTAGTATAATCTGTAAGTATATTAAATAATTATTTTTTAAAACTTGTATGCAATACTGCATGTAATGAAGAACTGACTATTTTTGTTAAACTTGCCACCCCTCTGATTTCTCCAATTTTCTTTGATCAGTTTGCATTTGGTATCCAGGTGCTTTTCAGGAGATTTCTAGCTTCAGCAGTAGAACTATATAGTATCCTTTCTCTGGGTGTATTAGGCCTACAAAGAGTGATGGCCTGGTTTTAAGATTAAATTAAAATAGGCTTTTGCATATAAAAAGGATTATTTCGGCAATATCATCTCTTACAGTGCAAAGGAGAACAGACTTGCTTTTGTTCTGAAAATTGTTCCTGAAAATAAGCTTGAAGCTTTTTTATTCCCAGGAGAAAAAAATAGCTTCCATGTTTAAAATCTTTATAGTACAACTCCCATCAGCCCTAGCAGCATAGTTATTGGTGAAAGACGATAGGAGTTGTAGACCAATACATTGGGGGACCATAAGGTGACATATGATCTTAACTAAACAAGGTAGGAATAATAACTCACTCTGAACCATTCTGTTTTTGTATTACAGGTGAGATCTGCAGTTCCCATAAAATTTTCTTTCATACAGATGCTGCACAGGCAGTTGGGAAAATTCCTCTGGATGTCAATAGCATGAAAATTGATTTAATGAGCATCAGTGGCCATAAAATTTATGGCCCTAAAGGTATGTTTCTTTCTTTTATGGCATTTGGCTGTCTTGACAGTAAAATATTTTCATTTTACTTAATTTTTCAAATACTGTTTGGAAAAGCAGTAAATTTATTTCAGGGCATCATGGAAAACTAAGCTGTAGGTATTTAAGGAGGAAACAAGAGCATGAAATTTGTTATTGCATGTAATTTCTAACTAGTTGGAACAGGGCTTTTACTGCACTTGCTCCAAACTACAGAATGACTTTCTCACTGTGGTGAGAGTTCATTTGTTATTTGACTGTTGAAAATGTGGAAGTCTTCTCAGTTCTGAGAAACTTTTAATTACAAAGAATAACTAAATGCCACTAACAGTATAATCCTATATATGTCCACACAGAAATAAACCCTACCAAATAAATTGGATTTACTTTGTAGTAACTCTCAGCCATTCCTCATGCTAGCTGAGGGATGCTGGAAGTTGTGAAAATTATTTCTGTCCAAGGAAGCATATGATTGTACCTTAAATGTATCAGCAGGGTTTCTTTTGTTAGGGAGCTATAATATAATTTGTTAAAATTCTGTTTTGATTTTTGTTAGAATCATCACAATGTAATAGGTATATTTTATTGCTTGTACACTGATTTGAAAGCAGGAAAAGCAGCCTCTCCATTTTTCTTATGATTGAGGTCAAGCACTCAATGTAATCTGGGAAAGTTATCACTTCTCAGAACTTTTGTCAGTTGGTGACCTTATTATCATTTCTGTAAATCATTCACTATGCCAGAGGACTAAGGAATGCCCTAACACTAAATTTTAAAAATAGATCCAGGGGTTATCTGGGGAATTACAGGTTGTAAGTTTGATGTCTGTTCTGGACAGTTTCTTGGTTGAAAGCATTATTAAAGATAGAATAACTAAGCATATAGAAGTATCAACATGGCTTCCACAAGGGTATGTTCAGTCTCATTGATAGCATGTGGATGGCTGTCCTCGCAATATATGTCTAGATATTGCCTATGTTCAGTTCATGTTAATTAGACACCTGTCTGAACAATTGTTAAGCTGAAATTTCTAAGGTTTTTCTCAGTCTCAGTTTCTCTATCTGTAATTCATGACTGTGGTACCTATAACTGCTCTAGATGGGATAATATTAAGTTCAGTGTAGTAGTTATTGTACTGACTACAATATGGCATACTAAGGACTAAGTCCTTTGAATTTTAGTGTAAATGACTTCCATGTGGTCATCATGGTTCAGCAAGTGCAGCATGGTATTCTTCATATGGTTCTGCTTTATTAAGTGTGAAGAAGTTTCCTATGTAAAAAGAGAACAAACTACATCTACAAGTAGAGTAAGCTATGACTATTCGCATACCTACACCATGCAAGTCTTTCTACAACAGCTCTAAGCACCATGACCCTAAATTAGCAGGGTTCTGTGTGCTTCAGTCTGTTAATCATTGGAGAATGTGTTTAAATGCAGCAGCATGACTAGTTCTCTGGATTATTGCCAGCACATTTAGGGTTCTGATGCCAAAGACTTTACATTTTCTAGAGTGAAAAAAATTGATGGAAGTTTTTTATTGTTTAAAAGAATTGAAGATTCTTTAAGTTTGTTGAAGTATATATAAGATTGCTTAAAAGAATTGAATGAGAGATATAGGGATGGAGAATTTAGTATTTGGAGGGCCATTTCTCTGTTTAGAAATGTAAATTCAATCTCTGAGACTTTAATATATGTGCTTTTCTTATGACTAAGAATTAAAAGATTTTTGAAGAAGAAAAATCTTTGTGAAGGTTCCAAAAGTTGGCAGTATGCAGAGTTCTTTATCTGTGTGGTCATCAGAAGCAACTTTGTATTGTTTTCTAAGGGGTTGGTGCAATTTATGTTCGGCGGCGACCAAGAGTTAGAGTGGAACCTATACAGAGTGGAGGAGGCCAGGAGCGAGGACTGCGTTCTGGGACTGTGCCAACTCCATTAGCTGTTGGTCTTGGGGCAGCTTGTGAATTGGCTCAACAAGAAATGGAGGTACAAAGATAATTTCAAGTTATTTTAATAACGTCCTAAGTTCAATTGGTTTGGCCATCTGTATTTTGCAATGTTCTTTAACCCTGTATTATTGATGGAAAATCTGTAATGTGATCATCTAATTATATGGGTTATAGTTTAGTATGATGTATTTCTCTATACTTTAGAAGTAATTTTGTTCCATATTTTATCTTAATTTTTGAAGAATAGGCAAAGTGATAAACCAAACCTGGGCTTCTTGATGGAACCATTTCCTGAGACATTTTTGAGAAGTAATTAATTTAGTAGTACATTCATTCTGAAGAGACCACTAGGATGTCTCTTCAAACTTATAATTGCAACCTTCTTTCTGGTTTCTCTTTTGCAGCTGGTAAGAAAGGAAAGGGGAACAGTTTCTAGAACCACTAGTGCTGATTGATATGAACTTTCCCTTTTTGGTGTTCATCCCTATTTCTGCTTGAGCATAAGTTTCTTGAGCAAATCTAGAGGCAGGTTGTCATACAATTTGCCTTGTAATCATATGATAGCAAAATGTGAATAGCAGAGAAATTTCTGCTAATGATAACAGTATCAATAGTTTGATAATAGTAAATAACACTATTATTATTAGGTTACTAACACTGTTAGGTTCCTAGAAATTTGTATTATTTCTGGAAGTAAATAATGTGACACATCGTAAATATGTTACATTGTCTGTTTTAGAAAGCAGACAGAAATGACTATTGTAGCATTTTAAGTAAATCAGTCAGATTTATCTGCCAGTTAGTAAATTGACTAATTAGTTTTTCCTTTTCCAGTATGATCATAAGCGAGTTAGCATACTGGCTGACAGACTGGTTACAAGAATAATGTCAGAAATTCCTGATGTGGTATTGAATGGAGACCCAATGCATCGATATCCAGGTATTGTTAGCAGAGTGTTGAGTTTCTGTTTACTACTGAATTTATTGTCCTAATTAAGGACAATCCCTTAAAGACTCTTTGTTTTTAAAATAATTTTTGGAGGATTGGAAACTTCAGAAAACTGACATAAATGTGAAGCTGGAGTCTTAGAATTGAAAACAAGCATGCGCAAGACTTGAGAGTATTGTAAAATTTTGTCCCTTTTGAGTGCAAAGGGATTGAATGTCACAAAATTCTTATTATTCCTTGTAGCTTTCCTACTATACAGTTACACAGTAGCTTCTGTATTTATGAGGAATGTAGCATTATAATATCAGAGCTAAGGAGCCTGACTTTAAATAATACTTGGAATCGCTGTTTAAACTAGGGCTGGCATAAGCAGTTCAAGTTAGAATGAAAGAATTCCAAGATAATAAAGTAGTTTCTAAAACATTTTAAACCATAATATAGTATTTATTTATTTAAAATGTTTATATGCTACCTATTACACCAACAGCATCCCTCTGTGGCTCACAGTACTAAAATAGCAACATTCAAACAACTCACAATATTAAAAATTCAGCAATAAAACTTTAAACTGTAATAACCCAATTAATCTATGAGCTAGTACAAATATAAAATTCCAGTAAGTTAACTTACCCCTTGGGTCATAGTGACATCAGAAATTAAAATATTTTTTTTTGAAACGTAAGTCTTTGCCTGGTGCTGAAAATAATACAAAGATGGCACCAGGCAAATCTCTTTAGGGAGGGCATTCCAAATATGGGGAGCAGTACCAAAAAAGTCCCTCTTTCTGTTAGCCACTCCTCTTACTTCCCTGAGGGATGGCTCCCGCAAAAGGGCCCCCTGCATTGATCTCAGAGGCCGGGGCCTAAGCCATTTAGCGCTTTATATGTCAAAACAAGCACCTTGAATTGGACCGTGTCCACAATTGGTTACCAGTATGGTTCTTTTAGTACAGGTGTTATATGGGCCACTCTAGGAGTACCAGTCACCAACTGAGCGGCCTGATTCTGTACCAATTGTAATTGCTGGACTGTATTCAAGGACAGTCCCACACAGAGTGCATTACAATAATCTATTTTGGATGCTACCAGTGCATGGGTAACTATTTTCAGGCTCTGTGCGTTTGGTTTCTGTATTAAGTATACATTGCTGCATAACATTAAGTCCAGTGAGTTGTGGGCTGTACATGACCTTTTCCTCTTGTTCCATATCTTTGTGGTAAGGTGTGAAAATAAAGAACTCCTGCAAAATGATGTATTTACAGAGAGGGAAGTCTTAGGAGATGCTCACTATTTTCTTGCCCAGCTTTATTATCTTTATAGTCAGCCAACTTTGGGTGTTGTACAAATAGCAGTCATGGCTCTACTGGCATGATGCTTTTTCTGCATGTATCTCTAGAATTAATGCTTGAGATACCCAGTGATTGCAGCAGAGATGTGGACATATTTCAGAAAAGCTGAAAAATAAAGCTTCTGTTAGAGAGAAGAAGCTCTAGTTATTTTAGAGGTAACTTAAGAGGATTGTTTAAGAGCATGCTGTAATTATCCTGAAAAAATTCTATCAGACAGAGGCTCATCATAATCTCCAAATAATTTGACTGTCTTTTGTCAACTCCGCAGGCTGTGTCAACTTATCCTTTGCATATGTTGAAGGAGAGAGCCTGCTGATGGCCCTTAAAGACGTGGCACTGTCTTCTGGAAGGTAATACTGCTTTTGTAAGAGAAAGAGAGGGCTTGGAGTGTGAGTCAAGGACATGTTAAACTGTTCAAGAACATTGCTTACATTTCTCAGGCAAGCTCCCTGATTATCTTGAAATTAGAGTGGGATAAAGGACAGTTGTGCCATTTTCAGTTCACTGGCACCACTAGTCTAGACTGAACCCATGATTCACCAATCCAGACATTTTCTCCTTTTGGTTTTGACTAGAACTGATTTACCTCTATTCATTCATATTTCCAATTTCTTTTAATACTTATCAGTATATGTCAAAAGATGTAACTTAATAACCAGGCTTTATTGCTTAGAGCAGAATCTATCAAATTATTAATTATTGCTGGTAACTCTTTTCTTCCTTTCAGTTGTTTGTTTCTTCTTTTCTTTCTCTAATCTCCTTTAGATCATTTTTATATTTGTGATCTTATATAACAGGGCTGGTCAAACCAAGGCTTGGGAGCTGCATGTGGCTTTTTGAGTTTATTTTGCAGCTCATGCCTTGCTGCCCACAGGTGCTGAGCGAGTCTGGCCACCCCATTATAGAACATGCTTTTATTACACAGCCTATTCTGTTCTCCTTCCCACAATACTTCTGACATTACTCTCATCTGCTGCTTCTCTTTGTATTATTTCTTTTCTCTTTTTACCTTCTTTCTGTTAATTTTGCTCAAAAAATCTTTATCTTGTCAGAGCTGTCCTAGTGTCTTGTTCTAATCTGTGTGGTGAGCAAGACACTTTGGACAGCAGGGATGTATTAAGAGCATGCTCCTCCAGAGCATTTCGCAGTATTCATGCCAACACCTTGATACATGAAAAAATAATTTGAAACTGTTTTCATTTTCATTAGTGCTTGCACATCTGCATCTTTGGAACCATCATATGTGTTGCGTGCAATTGGAGCAGATGAAGATTTGGCACACTCATCCATAAGGCAAGGGTTGTTTTTCTTCTTGATGAGCTCATTTAATTATATCACTTCTGTCAAGAGCAGAATCACTGCTCAGCTTTGTGTTGATTATTCTGTCACACCTGATAAACTCTTTATTTCAGATTTGGCATCGGTCGTTTCACTACAGAAGAAGAAGTAGATTATACCGTAAATAAATGCATACAGCACGTCAAAAGATTAAGGGAGATGAGGTAAAAGTTTTCTGATTATTGGATTCATTTGGCCATTGCAGAATTTTTTAAAGTACCTATGTTGAAGGGAAATGCTGCCAGATGTCACTGTAATTCTTTGGTTAAAATTGACCAAGAATTGCTGAGAAAGAGGCTATTTGCTGTCTCTATAGATGAGCCTGATGTGAACCAATCTGATATTCATATTCAGTTGACAGATTTCTTATAAAATCCATATGTGCTTACCAACCCAATTTAATAGACTATTAATAAAATAAATCTAGGCTATCATCCTATGCATCTTGAAACAAAAGAGCTCCAAAACTTCCATCATGCTACAGCTAACCATGCTACCTGGAGCATTCTGGAAGTTGTAGAACTTTTTTCCTGTCTAAACATGCGTAGGATTGTGCCCTTGAAAATATTCCTCCTATTTCATATAGCTATCTGGAATGGAAAACTATGTAAATACACCAATTTATTTTGATTATAGTATTTTAACATCATCAAAATTAAACACAAAGACAATACAATAAAATACCAGGAAATCTTGTCAAAAGAAATCTTAAGACATTAAAAACAGATAAAACCATACAGTAATGAATGGCTGTTAAAATGTAAGATGATATCCATTGTGGCTTCAGGAGTTCAACTGTAGCAAAATGTTGTAGGAACAATCATTTTAATTGGACTCTGTGAGGATGAAATAGATTCCCAGATGTAAAAGACTTCCTTGGAGAAACCACTTCCTGAATAACATTGGGAAGTATCTAGTACTGCAACAGCATCTCTGGTTGCTCTGTTGTGCCCAGAGGACCCACTGTTTGCATTTGTTTCAGGAATGGAACAGGTCACCAGAACACCATTTTATGAGTTATGCTGGCTTGCCTCATTACAGAAACAAAAGTTTCTGTTTGTTTCTGTTTGCCTCAGGAATTGCTTGTTTCCTCTTGTGCCAGCAGTAGGTTTCACTGTGGTTCAGGTAGTACAGGATATTGTCCATTATTTGTATTTCTAAAGTATTGACAGTGAATTTTCCTTCTCATTTGACAGTCCACTGTGGGAAATGGTACAAGATGGAATAGATTTGAAGAGCATTAAATGGACACAGCATTAAGCAAAGGAGTTACTTGTAATTTTGGACTGCATGAATATAGATTCAAAGAAATTTTCTGTGCGTTCCTGAAGAAAATGAAATGGCACTTGTTTTAAAAGATACCTTCTCTCTGTGACCAAGGTGTTCTCCTTTCTAAATACAGAGCCTGATCATTAAAACCTAAGGCTAAGTTTTGTCAGGTATATATCACATTTACACATTAGCAAATATACATGAACATCAGTTTCCTGGAGCCAAAGATGCTTTTACTTTGGGTGTGATGCTGGTGCAGCTTAGAATGAGGAGTCTTCAGCACCTGTACTATTGTGAAATAAATGTTTTGTTCTACTGTGATTCTCACTAGGCTGCTTCACATCCTTTCCACCAACATTTATCCCACATCAGAAACTTGTGTTTGGACATGTATGCTCAGAAGTTTTCTCACAGAAGACAGGCTTCCATCTAAAATTTCCATGCCTTTCTTTTGAACAATGGTATTTGCTGTGTAGTAATTAATACAGCTATGTTAAGGCCAGATAATTTTCCATTGCTCTCTTGTCCTTTATAAAATTCAGCTTGTTTTAAGAATTTTACTTCTTCCTTTTTCTCATTATTTTTCCTGCTGTGTTTTGTTAATGGTAGTAGTTTCTCCTGTTTTTTAGAATTCAGAAGATGATGCAATGTGCTATCACCATGGGCTCTTTGCCATTGCCTTAGTTTCAAGGGGAAGTGGAAGAGCTACAGGGCAATACATGTGGGTTCCTGGAAGACAAGAGGCCGTTGGCATATAAATGAATCATGTCTTTATAAAGATGTTCCAAACTTGCTTTTGTTTGATTATAATCATTCAAAAATTAAGAATTAGCCATTTCCTTTCACTTTTAACTGTCTGCCTGTGGTGCATCAAGTTAAATTGATGACCCTGGCATCCTTGGTACTTGAAATATGTGCTCTCATCTGTATAGTATATTTTAGGATTTGTACTACTTTATCTTGAAATATTCAAACTCTGTTTAAAGGAAAGAATTCTGTTTATTTCCTTACATTATAAATGGATGCAGGTAGGCAATAAATATTTTTGGTAGATTGCTTTTTTTCATTCCCTAGCTTTGTATACATACTGTTTTTCAGAAAATGGCTTTCTGACTGGGGATAGCATACTATCAACAAAGTACTATTTCTGTCTGCCAGATGTGTCCGTATGCTTTCCTTGATATTCGTAGAAATGCCCTTGAAATTGTTATCTGCTTTCTTAAGATAGGCCTTATAGCAGAAATCTTTTCAGGTAGCAATATGCTTCACAGATGAGATCTCAATTTGCTGTAAGTTTTCCAAGAAGTTCTTTGAATGTAATTTGAAATATTAGCATTGGTACGGCAGCAATGAAAATTTGTATTTCTTTGTCACAAAAGTAGCTGTTACAATTGGAAAGATAATTTCCAAATTTTTGCAACACATTTTTTATTGAATTAATTTGAAAAACAGCTTTAGAATATATTTGCTACTTCTGTCTTCACTTGACAGTTTATTTGAAACATTCATTTTCATTACTTTAGTGTAGTTTTATTAGGAATAGGTACAGAGCAAGAGAAAGAAAACATACTGTAAGGGGATGAAAAGAGAAAAGGATCAGCAGACAATAAGTTTAAAACATGACATTTAAAATTATTACAAAAATGCTGTTTATAGTTAATGTAGCATTGTGGGCTTCTAAATAAAAATGTAAAATAATCTTCAGTGGCTTGATTTGTGAACTCTTTTCCAGATAGAATATAAAAGCACTGAGGGCAGTATCCAGCAGGGCCACTGTGCTTATGTAATTGACATATTTCTGGCATAATACCAATACTGTACGCTGTCTTGACCTATTTCTCTAGAAAATGACTATTGAATAAGTGGGCTATTGAATATTGTCCTGGATAAACGGAGTAAACAGTTTCCACTTTTTACATATTCTTATTTCTCTAACAACTCAATTCTATCTTTAGACATCAGTAACAAGAATCACGTTCTCAATTACAAATCATAAATCAGGCAGTCTGTAGCTAAAAGAAAACTCTCTGGCACTCTTGAAGAGTTGGGCAGAAGAGGCAAAGGACAATGTTGTCAGCACCTCACACAAAGCATAGCATTACTGGACTCGAGTCAAAGCAGAGGTGGGAACATAGGGTCTTTTAGACACTGGGGTGCAACTCCCATCAGCCCTTGCCAGCACAGCCAAATGTGGAGCATTATAGGAACTGAATTGCATCAACATCCATGGTAGGAATTAGAGCCTGTGTTCCCCATTCCTGTTGTAAAGCAATGGGACCTAGCTATAAAACAACAACAACAACAACAACAACAATCTCAATCTGGCCTAACGGCAAATCAGACCATGATGTTCCCTAGGACAGTGGAAAATAGGAATAATCTTTGCCTATGAGAAATTATGACCTAGCTGCTCTTCAGAGGCCATCAACATTTGTAAGTGAATGAGTCGAGTTGTGAATGGACTGCAATCCTCAACACGTGTAGAGATTGGTAAGCTGTTGAGTAAACAAGCATAGGGTGGGCCTGTTTTTATATAATGTACATGGAGCCTCACTGTAGAAATGTGATCCCACAGCACTATTGCTTCGCATTACATCTCATAGTCGTTTGGCTAATATTTGCAAAATGTTTTTGCTGGGAAAAAACAACTCTCATGTCTTTCACAAACTGGGCACTCCCACACCTAAGCTGACCATGTGCCCCAAAGCACCTTTGGTGGCTTTCAGCGTTATACGATTTTAATGGAATTGTAGTCACTCGTACGGGGGGAGGGGGGATGCAACGAATACCGAGATAAAAAGAGAGAACAGGGGCGGAGTCCGGCCGGGGCGCGCTGTGAGATGGGCACCTGGCCGGAGAGGATGCTTCACTTGCTTATCTTGCCGGCTTCTTGCCACTACCGCCCCTCCACAAGCCACACCCCTCCTCTCAGCAGACGGCCTGGAGGCGGTGCAGCCGAGCAGCCATTTTGTGGTGCTGCTCGGTCGCTGGCGCTGGGCTCAGCGTGGGGAGCGGGCCCTGAGTGGCGAGTTAGTTTCTAACCCCTTTTTCCCGTACAGGCCCCTCGGTAAGAGCTTAGCGTTTCCCCGGCTGGTCTTCCGGCTCGCTGGGGAATGAGAGGGAGGCCGAGCACGTCCGGCTTGGCTGCGAGCGGAGCGTGTTCCACACAAAGGCGGGAGGGCGGGAATTAGGCCCGAGGGGCTCCGGAGCCCGGTTGGCTTCTTGGATCTCGATTCATAGCTTGGGGTCGGTAGGTACGGAGGGTAAAAAGGACGTTCAGAGGCACTGAGGCGTTTTAAGTCCTGGCGTGCAGGGTTGTGTGGCTGCACTTGGGCGACGGTGCTGGTTCGGGGCGGTGAAGAGCCGCCTTTGGCCCCGTGGGTTTATCACCCCCTTTCTTTTTGGGGGGGTAGGTGAGTATCAGTGGCTCCTTCCGTAGGTGGCCTTACGAAACTGGGGTTCCCCGAAAATATCCCCCGGTCTAATGGTGCTGTTCGGCCCGGCGAGATAAAGGCTGCCTCGTTGTAAGGGATGGGGGCAAATTGAAGCTGAGCTGCTAATATAAAACAAAATGGCCTTGGCTGCGGGAATTTCTCCATCGACCAGAGCTGCTACAATACGCCGGATTTCTGTGGCATTCAAGTCGAATACAGTTTCGTCCATGCGCGGATTCGAAGTGATATTGGACTTAATGTGAAAAACACGATTGTGATTTTTCGACACTTTGGAATTGATCTATCTAGCGTCATTTTTCCACAAGTTTTTTTTGTTTGTTTTGTTTGTGTGTGTGCGTTTTTAAATTGTGGGTGGTCTTAAAGAGCACATCTGACAAAATGGCAGTCATGATGTAAGTGCGAGACGTGAAGTTTCTGGCCCCTTCCTGGGTGTAAAAATTAAACCCGCGGTGAGAGATGATACGTGTGAAAGAAACTAGTCTTGGTGTCCCGCTGGCCTCGAAGATTCTAAGGAGAATATTTGGTTAAATCTTGGCTGCGTTGTTCAGAGTTTATGCTGGTTCTTTAATAATCCTAGATGAATGCTTTTTATTGAAATAGGTATAGCCATAAGGTTACATAATATCTATACTCTGTGGAGAGGTGAGGATCTGATTTACTGTATACATTGATAATTGTGAACGCTGGCTGCAAAATGGAGCTGTATTGTTTACTGTATTTTGCTGGCTGATTTTTTTGTTTTGAAGATTGACAAATTCAAGGATACGTGCTTTTGGAACAATAGAATTCTTTGTTTGAGTTAACGTATTTGTTCAGCCAAATGCATAGGAAAATGGAAGGAATGAAATTTACTGACTATAGAATCATTAAGCCTCTACATAGGTACAGTACGAAGTACTTAAAATTGGAAAGAAGTAATGGTTGTTTTGAGTTTTATTTATTAGAAAATGCTTGAGTTTAGTTTTGTTTTAGGTTTTGCTTTTCAGCAGTGAATTACTTTGAGTTTTTACTTCCATCCTGTTCCCTAGCTACTGGATAAACACATTAAGCTTGCAGTTTTAATACTACCCATTTGAAAGAAATCACCGAGAAATTTTTTAGTGTCGAGATGTTTGCACTTTAGAATGTTCTGTTTACCTCGTGAATGAAAATAAGGGGGTTGCCTAGTTTTCATAGGATATTACTTCTAAAGTTTTGAAATATACAATATTTGGAAGAGAGTCTTGGAAAGAGTACTTATTTGGCAATATGAGACTGATTGAACCCAGGAACAAATGAACATGGCAGAATTCCTCAGCCTGTCCAGTAATAGGCTTTCGGATGGTCCAGTGCTTAACATGTTTGGAACAATGCATGCAGTGTAAATGACAGAAAACAGAACTGTGGTAAAGACTTGAACAAGTTGATAGACTCTTGTGCTCAATAGAAATGCCAAAAAGAGACTAGTTTTGGAAAACTTTCTGTGTTAGCATGGCTTGCAGTGTATTTTCTATTTGGATGACCTTTGAGTGTTACATAGAAACTGAAAATAAGCTCTGCAATTGTACAAATACATTCACCAGGTTAGTTGTATTCAACTAAGCAAGTTTTGAAAGATTTGAGGTCCTGGTGAAGTGTAGCCTATACCAATGCATTATGTGTGACTCAGAATATGCAATAGCTTTTTATTGTAAAGGGTTTTCTGAAATTGCCTAGTTAGAAAGCCAGTAAGGAAATGTATGTTTTGGATTTTATGGGTAGTTCTTTAATATTCATTGTTTGGGTGTGCAGGTGAATACTTGGGCAGTCTGTTTTTTAATTTTAATTTTTTTATTTTTGTGGTATTGGTATTAGAGACTACTTGACAAGCTTTTATTTTGATAAATGATTAGACAACTCTTGTGGTCAGCAAAAATTTTACTTTGAAAAATTAAGCATAAATAACAGATATCAGTTATTTGTAACACTAGCTGTCAAGTCACACATAAGACTTGTACTTAATGCAGTATTCCATGTTTCTGTTTCCTTTCTTTAAATGGGAATTATGTTCAGGCTTTGCAGATACAGATTGTCAGATAATGTTAGAATTTTGTGTGTATTCATGCACTAGTATGCACATACTTTTTGAATGTTGGACATATTTTCATTGTGAAATACTGTTTTGAGTCCATGCTTTGAGAGTTGGATTGTTCCTGTTTGAAACTTGTATTGGATTGCAGTTTGTCTTTTGTAGTGTTGAAACTACAAAATGAAGTTACAGAATTCTCATAATGTGACAGTTGAATAGAAGAAAAAAGAGAAGAAGGTGTGCTGTACAGTTGAGTTTAAAGTAGCTTCAGCAAATGTGGCTGAAAGTATTTTGTGTTGGTTTCTTAAATTATTTACATGTATTTGAAGATGTAATTTTAGAAAAATTGTGTTGTTCAAAATGATTACTTCAAGTCGTCTTCATGGGGGGAATAAATGCACCCTCTTTCTGAAACCAGTATTGATAAATTATTTATCTGAAGTGAGAATGCAAATTTGAGAGGTTACATGTGTGCAATGAAGTTATATGTTCTGGCTTTTAGACTATATTCTCATGTTGGGTATATCTTGATTAAAAATAAACATTAACCGTTGTTATCAAAATGTGGACTAGTATGAGAGATCAACAAATGTCTATTTTATCCCCTCTCAAACTTGTGGTTGCTATGTGCTGGAGTGCCTTTATGATGGTCTTGACCCCAAACTTTCATAATACACAGTTCATTGTGGACTGTTAACTTTGGTTGTGTGCTACCAACATTGATTTTTGCCTCCATTTATTCTTTATTGCAGTCTAAAAGTTGGTTTTAATTGGTTGCCCACAGGATTGACTTGGCTTCTGCTACTTGTTAAGGAAAAAAACACATCCCCTTGCAGGTAAGATATTCTGAAGATATATTTATGCTTGGGTAATTCAAGTACTTTTGAAGATAAATTCCAGAATTTGAATTAGTTTTAAAAGTTTATAGCTTTAAAGCTATATAAAGATTTTAGTTTTTCTTTCAAGGCCCAGTTGTGAAAATTTTTACAAATACATTTGCAGACAGAATTCTTTAAGATGGGTATCTTAGTATTCTGCTGTTTCTAAAAATACACATGCATGAACATATAGTGGGATGTTCATATAGTTACTAAAATCTTGACTTTAGCTGTGAAGAGTTTTAAACAGTTTTTAATCAGTTATACCGTGGTCTATTCTGTACTGTCTAGCTGGCATTTGTAAGCGAAATACTCTACCAAATTGTTTTTGGTGCTAGGATTAATTTTTGTTTTAATAAGGACTTTTTGGACTTTGTTTAGCAAAAGAACTACCAAACACACTTTTCTGTTGATTAGGATCACTATTAATTAAGGGAGATATTTGAACCTTAGGTTGTTTAATTCAGCAAGAGCAGATTCAGGTATTTATATATTACTACCTCCTTAACATCTTTTAAATATTCCATGCTTATTGTATCTGTGGCCTGTTTGTTCTGGAGGACTGTTACTGTTCTGCTCTGTCTCTTATGCAACTTTAAAAAGCTGTAGATGGTTGTGCATGTTCAATCATTGACCTGGTTCACACATAACACTAGCCCATGGTTTATTTTATTCTTTGTTTGCTGCCCTACTCAAGATTTGTCTGACAGACATTTTAACAAACTGCACTTTGTTTCTTCTGTGCCTGGGTTGATTGTTTCCCTCGTCCTTTGCCGGTTCCTTCCTTATATCCTGGATGCCTGTAGTTCTAGCACACAGAACAGCTGGGGGATCCACTCCCACTACTCCTGTAGCTTGGCAAAATAACCCATAAACAATGCACAGTTCTCGGTATATAAGTAGTGGCAACTTACAGTTTAAACAACCAAGAAGTCACACCCAATGTGAAACCATGGATTCCTGTTTTGAGTTGTTTGTGGTTAAGAAACCATAATTTGTTAGCACAGCAACCCAGAACTCAACAATCCACGGGTATACAAACAATGGGATAACATTATGTGTAAACTGGGTCATTCTGTCTCATTTACAAAGGAACATTCCAGATGACTTGGCATTTTAAATAATTTTTTCAAGCTAGCCTGTTCTATAATATGAAAGAACTATGGTCTTGGAGATCATAACTATTTTTTAAAATCCCCTTGAATCTTCTATCTAAAGATTAATCAGAGTAGCTATAAAAATATAAAGCATCAGTAAATGCAGGCTAATATAAAACAAAGCACAGCATAATAGTTAGAACGTCAGTAAAGAGGACTGAAGACTTGTAGAAATAAAACAGTTTTCACCATCTATGTGAAAGCAAGTTAAAATGGAACCCAGTATGCCTCTCTCATGATGGCTTTACAAAGTCTTGCCACCATATTTGGCCATCTTTCCTCTTGCAGTGAAGCATGGAGCTGGGCCTGTGATGCCTATTTTAATGTTTGAATTGGCTCATAATACATTCTTAACAACTGTGATTAAAAGGGTTCCACCATCCACACTGATGCATCTCAAATCTACCTATGGTTGCAGAGAAAGTTCTGGATGTAGACTGGTATTGCTTTCTGAAATTGAATTTGCATTACAAGTTACTGTTTGAAAATGAGTTAACTCATAGAAATGTCTCATTGTTCGTGCAATATCAGAACATTAAGGTATATGCCTTAGTATATTTTTATGTAGATCAGATCATTCTTTTCAATCCTGGGACCCACCTTTTAGACGGCCAATTGTAATTTTTATAATATCATTACATGAAGATAATGCTGCTGCTGTAAGTCACCTTAGGATCACCCAGCTTGTTTGTTCATATACTACTCAGAGCCAATAGGAATAAGGCAGTATATCAATATTAAGATAAATAAAATAAAAATAATTGAAGACAAGTTGATTGTGGAATATATAATATGGCGACTTCAGGGACAAAACTGACAGTTTTATGGTGGGTCTTAAAGCTACAACTTAATAACCAGTTGATTATTCAAAAGCTGGACTAGTTCATCTGTTCAGTGGATGGCAGTTGAATTTTTAACACCCTGGATAACATTGCTTATGACCTTTTTATAAGTATGGACAGAACAGTGTTAGCCTTTGTATTATAATTGACTAAGAATTGAATTCTATTGCATAGACTTGTATGTTTTTGCTACTCATATTACAAGCGTGCATTTAATTGGTTCCTCTACCAAATAAATGTTTTAAAGCTCATGTTTGTTGCTGTTTGAAGACATTCCCAGCCCCAAACATATTAATGTTTCATTGCTAGAAAGTATCCTATTTATAGCAGGCAGATTTCTGATTAATTAGTGCAGTAGCAGGTACTAGTTACTAGTCTTTTTATAGATGCATATGAGAGTACTTCAGTACTTTCAACATGTGAAGCAAACTATATATTTATGTAAATAAAAATACACTCCTTGTTTAACAATCATGCAATGCTATTCACCTTGAATTACTACAATTTATTACAAAATCTGGCTTTGGAGAAATGTAAGTAGCTCACACACATTGTTATACTGATTTTGGATTCTTGCGATACTGAATAGTGAGCTGAAATTTGAGTAATGCTCAGTCTGACAAATCTTAGATTCACACACAACTTTTCTCCTGTTAGTCATTTGGAGATATTGTTGCTCACTGATACTTATTGGCTCATCTGAAAGGTGGCATCTGTATGTTTCAGGCCAGTTTTAATTCAAAAACAAATCAAAATTCCCTTTGTAATGAAGAATGAATGCAGTGGGCAGAATCCACCACTTCCAGTGTACTAGCAGGACCACTGCTAGCATAATGGGAAGCTGGCGGATCCTTCAGAAAACAGAAGTAAGTGGAAAAAACAGTTTCCAAAATGGTTCAGGTCAGTAGAACTTGCAGAACAGAGATCTGTTCTACTCCTGAGATAAACATTTATAGTGTTTCTGACGTTGTTTTAGAAAATCCTAGTGATGGGTCCTGTCAGGGAAATAGATAATAGTGGGTATGAAGAGGCAGTATAGGAGACAACATAGTAAAAATAGCACAACAGGCCACCAAAACATTTCAGTTTTACCAGCCTCACATGCAGTTCAATCAATAACTAGTGTCAAATTCAAGATTTAATCAGTCTGTATCTATATTCTAGTGCTGGCTAAATGAGAAGAAAGGTCACATAGCATAGAAAGTATCTAGCTTGGACAGTTTTGGTAATTTGACATGATAGGTTTAAAAAAAACCCCTCTGGTGTGCAAGTTGATACATATAAGAAATATCCTTCCTATCTATAGTTACTTTCTACCTTGCCATTGCAACCAATAACATGATCATATTTCTATGAACAAGTTCTTCCAGTTCATAAGAATGACACAGAGTCTACTAGTCTAGCCTCTACATCAGTAATGTTTGTTTTTTAAATGCCATGAAATACAGTGATACCACATTTTCACCTTATGTACTGTATAGCACCAAATATATCCCAGCCTCTCCAGCATCTGTTTGCAGGGCTACAAAGCATTCTGTATATTTTCATAACATAATTCATGGATGACTTTGAACCTTCCTCTTTAGATTTAGCAAGAATTTTTAAAAGAAGGTTTAAACCAAAATCAGTTTCAGGATTCTGGGAACCAAGCCATATCAATTTCCTGACTTGCTTTATAATGAGAAAATTATCTTTGCCTGTAAATCTTAAGTGAAAGAGCACTGAGCATCCTCCATACAATTTTTTGGTTCATTGTTTCAGCTTAATTTTGGTTTATAGTTATCTCTGCAACCATAAGGAGACTTCAGTGAGTTTCACACTGAATCACTTGTTTTTTTCAAAAATTCTTTTACTTGAAAAACAATTTTGCAAGCTCTTGTATGGCCTTAATAGATCAATTCTGTAACCAAGTTTCATGTAAAGTTGTAAAAGTATTTTCTTTCTTTAAAACAGTTGAAGGAAAATTGGGGTGGTGCTTCTTGTTAAACATTTAATATTTTACAAATTGCTTTCCTGTTGACATTCCTTTTCCTAACTAGTCCATTGTTTTTAATCTATGCATGTATGTAACATTAATATATAAGTGGATCAAGGACACACGTGGTTGCATTCTAACACTGTCTGGAACAGAAACATAATAGTTTTGCAAGGGTTTGTGGAGGTGCATCTAGGAAGTACAGTGTTTTCCATCCAAACACTAAGCCAGATGCTCTGGCTTATATGAAGGAACTGGGAATCTTTAAAAGCTGCACAGTAGAAAGATATTTTAATGGAAAAGGTGCAAAACAGACTGCAAATATTCCAGGTATCTTGCTTCCTAGAATAGTGAATTTGATGCAGAGGAATTTTGAAATAGGTATAAATTATTGTATAGGGCTGAAGTATAGGATGTTTTTATTTATTACTACATTTATATCACACCTGTTTTCCTGTTATAAGGAACCCAGAGTGGCTTATATGGCCTTCCTCCTCCACTTATTCTCCCATCAGTCCTGTGATCTAGGACAAGCTAAGAGGCAGTGACTGGTACAAAGTTACACATGGTAGAATGGAGAGTAGAACTCAGATCTCCCAGGTTCCAGTCCAAGACAGTAATCATTATGCTATATTGGCTCTTGATTTAACCTTGATAGAATGTTCTAAAACATGTCTGTCTCTAAAATTTTCTAGCCCTGATCTAAATGCAGGCATTTTGTTTCTGCAACGTGAATTATATTAAAACTTTTCATGGGCCTTGGTAGTTATAGGCGGCCTATAAATACACGTATAAATATTGAAAGCACTAACTAAAAGTTCTCTTAAAGGATTTCTCTTGGCCGTCTTGATTTCTGCATTGGTTCTTGACTGGATTCATGTTAAAACATGCTTCATACTGCAGTTTACTGGAAAGATTCGTACAGTCTTGCCTCTGAATGCCACAATATATTTACACTTTATCAGCCATATTCAAGATCTTCAGGAACATTTAAACATAATAGTGTCTAGGTTAAGCAAATGGTGTCATAAATAGTCTCACCTAGCCGTTGCCTTTTCTCATCTGCAGGTGTGTGTGTTTCTGCGCAGCATGGCTGTGGTCATCCGCTTACAAGGTCTCCCAATTGTGGCGGGGACTATGGACATTCGCCACTTCTTCTCTGGATTGACCATTCCTGATGGGGGCGTGCATATTGTAGGGGGTGAGCTGGGTGAGGCTTTCATCGTCTTTGCCACTGATGAAGATGCAAGGCTTGGTATGATGCGCACAGGTGGTACCATTAAAGGGTCCAAAGTAACACTGTTGCTAAGCAGTAAAACTGAAATGCAAAATATGATTGAACTCAGTCGCAGGCGTTTCGAAACTGCAAATCTAGATATGCCACCAGCAAATGCTAGCAGATCTGGGCCACCACCCAGTTCTGGAATAAGTAGCAGGGTGACTCTTCCCACCACTGTTCCTAATTTTAACAGCCCCTCTCCTAGTGTAGTAACTGCAACTACTTCTGTTCATGAAAGCAACAAAAATATACCAACTTTCTCCACTGCTAGTATGGGAACTGCACCTCCCAATCTGGGTGCTACTTTTGGAAGCCCCACATTTAGCTCTACTATACCTAGTACAGCATCCCCAATGAACACTGTACCACCTCCACCAATACCACCTATCCCAGCTCTGCCATCATTACCCCCAATGCCTTCTATTCCTCCCATACCTGTCCCACCTCCTGTACCAACATTGCCTCCTGTTCCTCCTGTTCCCCCAATTCCTCCTGTTCCTCCTGTACCACCTATGACACCTCTGCCTCCTTTATCTGGAATGCCTCCTATGAATCCCCCACCTGTAGCCCCTCTGCCTGCTGGAATGAATGGGTCTGGAGCGGCAATGAATCTGAGCACTAACTTGAACCCAATTTTCATGAGTCCCATGAATGCTATTCAGATAAGTTCGCAAAGTAGTGTGAAATCACTTCCTATCAATCCAGATGACTTGTATGTTAGTGTCCATGGAATGCCATTTTCAGCAACAGAATCTGATATCAAAGACTTCTTCCATGGACTCCGCATAGATGCAGTGCACATACTGAAAGATCATGTAGGACGAAATAATGGAAATGGATTAGTTAAGTTCTGTTCTCCTCAAGATACATTTGAAGCCTTGAAACGGAACAGGATGTTGATGATTCAGCGCTATGTTGAAGTTAGTCCTGCAACAGAGAGACAGTGGGTGTCTGCAGGAGGCCATATAACATTCAAGCAAACTATTGGGCCTTCTGGACAAAATCATCCTTCTCCTCAGACTCTCTCTATGTCCAAATCTCCTAATGGTCAGAAAAGATCAAGATCGAGATCTCCACATGATCAGGGATTCTGTGTTTATTTAAAAGGTCTTCCCTTTGAATCTGAGAACAAACATGTAATAGACTTTTTTAAAAAGCTAGATATTGTTGAAGACAGTATTTACATAGCTTATGGACCCAATGGGAAAGCACTTGGTGAAGGTTTTGTTGAGTTCAGAAATGAAACTGATTATAAAGCTGCTCTATGTCATCATAAGCAGTACATAGGAAATCGCTTTATTCAAGTCCATCCCATAACTAAAAAAGCTATGTTAGAAAAAATAGAGATGATCCGGAAAAGACTGCAGAATTTCAGCTATGATCAACGCGAGATCATGATGAATACGGAAGGGGAGACAGGCCCTTCTAAGCTATGTGCACATATATCCAATATCCCCTACAACATTACCAAAATGGAGATCCTTCAGTTTCTAGAGGGGCTGGCAGTGGAAGAGAACTCTGTACAGATTCTTGTTGATACTAATGGGCAAGGCTTAGGACAAGCATTGGTCCAGTTCAAAACTGAAGAAGATGCTCGTAAGTCAGAGCGCCTACATCGAAAGAAACTGAATGGGAGAGATGTTGTGCTAAAGTTGATTTCCCTTGAAGAAATGAGAGAAATTGAGAGAAATCCTCCTTCCCAAGGGAAAAAAATGTTGAAAATGCCATTGCAAGGGAATACAACAATACCAGGAGTTCAGAATGCTGCTGGGGATGAGCAGTCTTTCATAACTAGTAATGCAAAAGATGGAAGCAGTGGTCCTCCTTTTCATTTTCCTGGTAATTTCAGTGGGTCGAATGCATTTGGTCCTCCTCTTCCACCTCCAGGAATAGCGGGAGGTGGCTTTGGTGATACCAGGCCAGGAATGCCTTCTATTGGAAGTAGTGGTTTGCCTGGCCTGCCTGGTTCAGGAATTGATGTTCCAGGGTTTGGAGGTGGACCTAGTAATTTAACTGGGCCATCAGGTTTTGGAGGGGGCCCTCAGAACTTTGGAAATGGCCCTGGTAATTTAACTGGGCCTCCTAGCTTTGGTAGTGGACCTCCAGGTCTTGCTGGTGGGCTTGGGCACCTAAGTGGACCTCCAGGGTTTGGACCTGGACCTGGAAACTTACATATTGCTGGGCCACCTGGGTTTGGAGCTGGCTCTGGAAAGCCAGGGCCAACTGTTATTAAAGTTCAGAATATGCCCTTTACTGTATCAGTGGATGAAATTTTGGATTTCTTCTATGGTTACCAAGTAATCCCAGGTTCAGTGTGCTTAAAATACAATGAGAAAGGTATGCCCACAGGTGAAGCAATGGTTGCATTTGAGTCTCGTGATGAAGCAATGGCAGCTGTTGTTGATCTGAATGACAGACCAATAGGCTCAAGAAAAGTCAAACTTGTTCTAGGGTAGTTGGTGTATAACATGTTTGTAGAATAGATACTAGTGCGGTGATTTATGCATTCAGACTGTTTTATAGTTGCTCCTGGTTAGAATCTATACATCGTTCAAACTGCAAATTTGTGTTGATAAGCCTGAGAACACTGGGCTGTTTATAGAACAGTCACTGCAATGGTGAATGTGCAGTTGTTCTACTGGTAAAAATACGTGGAGAAGAAGAATTCTCAACAATAGAAGACGTTTGCTAATTTGACCATGAAATGTTCATCAAGGAGTCTAGATTGGTTTTATGAAATTTTGAATGAGGAAAATTTTCATGATGAAGTTAGTGATCTTGTAGTGGGTGCTATAGCAAGCCATTGTAAAATAGAAAGTAGCTCTTCCTACAGTTAGTTACAAGCTGGCTGAATTTATTTGTTTACACAAGTAATGTTTTTTTCTTTTAAAATCCTAACTTTACTTTGCAACTGAATAAAGTCTAAGTATACCCAGATTGTTTATGTACCTTTTCTTGCAAAGAAACTTAGTGTATGGACAGTGAAATTATGCACATAGATAAACATTTAGGCAGTTTTCCTATATACAAACAGAACAATCTGTAAAATTCCAGCTTTTCGTGGAATAATTTTAGTTTTTATTGCAACTGATTGTATAGAATAAGATTTTTTGCCACAAGTGCAGGTACCCTTGTTTGTTCTGCATCTTTACTCACTGTATACTTAAAATTCATGGAGGTGCCATATGACGCCACAATTTGAAAACAATGTTTGATTAAATGGAATTGTTAGGATTGTATGTTACAGTTGGGATAGGATGCTCATCACTTGGTTTTTGTACATTTGTATATGTTGTGTATTCTTTTGAACCACACTCTAATGGAACCTCTTGGTTTAATAAGTGAACCTAAGGAACTGATGCGAAGTGTTAATGTTAGCAATCATTTATTTGTGTTACTATGACTCCATAAAATCTTGTGAATTCTTAACTGTGGATCACTTAAGAAATTAAAACATTGAAAACATGTCCCAACATACCTTGAGTTCCTAATGTCTTTCCAATAGCTTACATTGTTCAATTTCAAATTCTTTGTAGAAATCTTGCTTTTTTCAGTAGCGCTCTCGTAGGAAAGAAATGATGCAGTGATATAGAAAATCAAAGATTTTTTTTTTACTATTATCAGTTGTCTGAAAAATCCCCTGCAAATCACTGTATTTTAAACAATTTACACGCTATTCTGTTCCTAGTTAAAGAAAAAAAAAAACGGTTCAATTGAGTTGTGTACGATCGAATATTTGAAGTGCACATCCTGGGATAATGTAGAAATTCAAGTGGCAACCTTTCTATTCATCCAGGGTGTAAGATGGATGTAAAACTGTTGAATGATACATCATGAGAGGATTTTGCAGTACAGTAATTATTTGAAGGACTGTGTGAAGGTGTTGGAATGAAGAGGTGGCTGTATTACACATTTTTGTAATTCATGGATATGAAACTGTTTTGACAGGAACTGAGATGGTGCACTCCTGAAAAATGACATGATTGTACTACACTGTTAAAATTATTAAGTCTTCTGTTAATAAAACTGTCTTTATGAAGTTTCATGCTATCTATTTTTAATTGTCTGGTGTATTTTAACAGCAGACTTTTTCTGTTGAAAGGCGAATAAAAAGTGTTTTGGGGAAAATGAACTGAATAGGAGATGCATTTTCTACTTTTTTAAAAGTTTCTGTAATTATTGGATAGTCTGAAATATTTCAATTTGAGTATTGTGTCTGTCTTATAAGAATAAAAATGTTGTGTTGGGTTGAGATTGGCCTTCTGTGAACAGAAGGGCTCATTTCGTTAACAAGAGGCACTGGGATCCAGCAGGGGCTCCCTACTGAAGTCAAGAAGGGAGACTTCAATTCTCCCTTTCCTTTGCAACACCCTGAGTTGCCTCTTGTGCTGTTCCAGAGGTTCCCCATCCCTCCAGAGCAGCTTTTCCAGAGACACTAGGGAGAGCAGGAGAAAGGAGGAATCACAAAGTTTGCCTCCTTGCCCTTTTCTTCTAGCATAAGGGGAATTCTTCAAAGTGTGGCTCTGGATCTGAATCACTGCGAAAGAAATCATGGTTGGCTGAAAAGCAAGAAAATTGTATGTGGCATATTCATTTAGTAATATATTTAAATCTTGGAATAATTTCCAGCATTGTTTTCCTTGTCGTGAAATGCAATTAAAGTCCTAGTTTCTGGGCCTTCTTTCTCATCTAATGATTGGGTACATCTTGTTTCTCTTGGTGCTTGAGCTGGGATGGCTAGCATACCTCTGAAAATACTGATGGTGCTAGGATACCCTTGTATACATGTTCCTCCAGATTGTTCTGCAGATGGTTGTTGGAAATCTCATTTCTATACTGTATGTTCCAGAGCATTGCAATGATGTACACTAGTAAATTGTTTATTAAAATATGTTCATTTAGTGAATACATCTTTTCTAAAAATGTACCTTTTGGAGCTTGCCATGGTGGCTGTATATTCACGTCTTAATAGACTATAGTGTATATTGATAGAATCCCCAGATGTTATTAAGGTAGGGTAGGTGCACACAATATTTTAGTAAACCTTGGTCATTTGTTGGGGTGGGGGGATGGTATAGTGGCTGAAATGAATTTTGGAATGTGTTTTGACATTCTAAAGAAAGGAAAATGACATCTTGGAAAATTCTGCAAGCCAGCAGTGGGTTGGGCCCATTAAATCACTTCTGGAAAGATTTTTTCACCCCTTTTCCCTACTGGGTTAGACAGTCTTTGAGAATGTGTGGGGTTCTGTGTAGATGCTGTGGGAAATTGCCAGAAACCCCAGAACCTGCCTTTCACAAGCAGAAGTGCTTTCATCTTGTGCTAGAGTCCTGTTTGGATCTAATCCAATGACTAGAACAAACTTAATTTCCCCATTCCTGTTGATTTTATTATAGGTCTCTAAAGTTGCAGTCCTGTGGAGTTGTGGCATACTGGGAGTTGTGGGTATTTCCCCCCCCCTAAAATTTGCACCCCACAACTACATCCTGTGTATGCTTACTTGGAAGTACATGCTTTTTTGGCAATGGGATTTACTTCAGAGTAATACAGACTTGCATAAGATTGCACTGTTTAGTATGATTTTCTTTTGGTTTGTCATTAACTGCCTTGGAAACTTTTTGGTTGAAAGGCAAATGGTGATCTTTAAATAACTAAAAATTATCCCATCTTTTTGGTCTAAAGGAGCACAAAGGGAACAGAATACCTATGTAGAGGTTCTCACAAACTATCTTGATAGCCAGGTTCCACAGAAGTGGCTAGATCAAATAGCTTTGTTAGCTGCTAGATTATTAATGCAAATTTACAGGGCAATGCTTTGTCCCCAACAGAAACTTCTGAGTGACCTTAGGGTGTAGTGGATCTCATATTTCAGATGATAAGATCCAGTTATGACTCTGGTATGCCCTCAAGCCCTTCCTAAAAAGGCTCTTTGATGGTTTCTTCAGACATTAAGTTTGCAGTCTTAGTTAAGGAAGATTCTATGGATCTTCCAAATTCAAGGTCTGTCAACCCTTGTCCTTGCTCACAGCTAAGGAAGCAAGTCAGATGAGTCAGAGGCCTATTGAGAAAAAAAATCATGAGGATAGAGGGGTTAAAAAAGCCCCATTCCTCCATACACCCTATCTGCAAGAACCCAGCAGGGCGCCCCATAAGGGCCCCAACACTGAAGACTTTCTTTGCATAGTTGATACTCAGTTGCGTCCTTATTAATATTCTTAAGGTATTAGACACTAAGGTAGTAATACCCTTAAGTTATTAGAGAGTACTAGGAATGCTCTGCATTTAAAACACTGGACTTCATTGAGTACATTGGATCAGGGTGCCAATGACCTTTAATTAAAAGTATGCGTAGCCTGCAGCACTGGGAACATTTGAGGAAACAACTGGAGCAGCTACTCTTAATTTGTTGTAATTAGAAGTATTGCACAAGGTATAGTGAGTCTTGTTATTCTTAACACATGTCTGAATAATGCAACATTTCACTGATGGGCCTTAATAGTATGAAATGAATATACTTCTAGTACAATTTTGTAAATTTTGATTAAGATTTCATTAACTGCCATTCTATTTTTAAAAAGTGTCCAAGGTGAGATGCAGGAAAAATGTATACTGTTATTCAGTGTGTGGTTTTACAAAACAGTACTTGAAAGACCATGAGGAGGTTATAGATTAAATTCAAACACAGAGAAAACAGTGAGAAAAGCAAGATTGAGGGTAACATGATGCATCTCTTACATGCAGTTATAAATATTTAGGCTTGGTTTTATTTAGAAGCAAGGGAAGCTTCACGGATGTGGGTTTTGAAGAGAGATTTGAAGTAATAGCACACACAATAATAAAGGGGACAAAGGGAAGAGTTATTTAAATAAGATTACAAGTAGCTCAGGTGATTGAACTGAAATGAATATATCAAGATATAAATTTAGTAATTTGCAGTAATCAGTATTCAAGATGATGTTTGAGTTCTATTATTAATGCTTTTTTCCAAATTAAGCATGCTGTGCCCATTGTTGAGACACTTTACTGCTCTAAATGCAACACTTTTAATGGTATTAAGTATGTTTAGACATGGCTGGCCAGGAAATGCTGCGAGTTGTAGGGGGTGCATGGGGTTGCACCCAATGTACATAAAATGATTTTTGATAGAAAATATACTTGATTGGTTGAAACCAAGTACTCCCAGTTTTCAAAGAAATAACATACTGTCTTAAGAAATAAACCTGCTTCTTCATCACCTTGATCCACTTAAGGATTTCTATTTTGTAAGTGGGCTTTTGCATAAGTGCCAGTTATTGCATCAGGTACCAAGAAGTAAATAATACATCAAAATGCATATTATTTGCATATTTATCCAAATTAGGATACAGTCTTTTCAGTACTTTTAATGGGACATGTATTCTTTATGCAAATAAGCATTTGAACAACTAGTCCAGAATAAAAAAGC